TATTAACGATATGTACCGGTATAAATATTTACTATCACATGAATGAGAATATGTCCTACACAGCGGAGCATCCAACATCAGCAACACAGCCAATCTTAGGAAATTTGATGCAGCCATTGCCGAATATCTCAGTCGGCGGCGAAGGCACGACTGTAATGGTGGGCGGCACTAACACACACTATAGAGTGGGGCCAAACACAGGTGTGTTGTGTAACTCAAACAGTCCATTTTATAAACCAGAAGAATTTCAGAGGAAAATGTGTATCCCAGTTGCAGTTAGATTGATTTTAAACTGTCAGATGTGTCACTGTTTCGCTTTTCAGTGTTGGACATTATAATGTTTCAACTTGTAGGGTATGACATTCTTTTCCAGGTGACAAAGCAATTTTCAAGATATAATCAAGTTATTCTTTCAACAATATGGTACCATATGATTCTCCCATGTGAAAGGTGCACACCAAGGTGCATATGTCATGTTTGATGCCAAATTAATTGATGATGTATGAATTATGTTAATTACATGCATTCAATGATACTAAAAATGCTACTACTAAGAATAACAATAGGCGGTGAGGTTTAATGTTGCGTCAGATTATTACACTTATATAGCAACGGGCTTGCAACTAATAATAATAATAATAATAATAATAAGTAGTAATCTTCGGGCAGAAGTCCCATTCGTTGTCTGGGCTGCGTGTAGAGGGGGCAAGGGCCATGATCTGATGATGAGCATTAACCATCCTGACTGCCAGGATCACCCAAACCCTCTTTGCTGCATTTTTCTATTTTAATCTGTACATAATAATAATGATAATAATAATAATAATAATAATAATAATAATAATAATAATAATAATAATAATAATGATGATGATAATAATCTGGATTTAGAGATCATTTTAGCTTTTGAATCAGAAGTAAACCATGTGCTTCAGTACCTCTTGGCCTCGATATGTAATTATATATATTTATACCAAGGAATTCCGTCAGTATGTCCTTCCGAAGACATTTATTTGCGCGACCTATATCTTGAAACCCACAGCATGGATTCTTTTCATACAAATAGAAGAGGTGCAGTGCAAATTTTTATGTAGATTTGCTGCGAAATGTTTTGAACATTTGTGTGACCTATAACTTGCAAACAACTTTATGGATTCCAATTGGTGGTACAGTTTCCATACCAATAGGAGAGGCGCAGTGCAAAGTTTGATTTCGATAAGTGGATTTTCTGAGAAAATATTGCTTTTTTTCATGTTATGTTCTTAGAAATATGTTGGAGTCGAAGTCGGGGGTATTAGTCAGCCCTGTTCACATTATACCTTATTCCCTGTGCATTAAACAATATTGTAGTCATCTCCGTTCGTGATTGTACTGCAATTTTAGAGAGGAGTTCGCCTGGTAACGTCAGTCATCATGAGGTAAAGACACACTCGGCCATGGAAGACGGCACTCGGACCACGACGACGGAGAACACAGTCGGTCCACATGCTACAGGAGAATCACAGGATTTAGTCAAAGTTAAAGAAGATCATACTCATAAATTTCATTTTCGCAAGGAAGAGGATGGCAAACTCATTCAGATTGGACACTGTTGTACGATTGTAGATATCCGTGTTGATGATCAAGCTATGGACAAAATGGAAAGAGGCGGTGAACTTGCAGGTAGTGTATACTTACTTTTTGTAATATGCATAATATTTGACAGTGCTGACTCAATTCATCAGTGCGAAGACCTGCCGACTTTATGATTTAAATGGACAACCGGTGAGACTATATCCACAAAATCAGGTGACCACATGATTGTATATCCATACCGTATCTGAGACTCCAAAAAATCCCTTTGTCTGATTACCGTTGTCTCTTTCGAGGTCGTTGGTCGAAATAAAAATAACATTAACAAACGTGCATCTTTAAATATTTCTAAACATATGTCGGATAAAGAAGTAATTTAAAAAATATGTTTATGGTACTTCGTTTGATTCACTTTAAAGTGTTTTGTTTCCATTATAAATGTAAAAAATGTTCATTATTTAATTGGGCGGATCCCGTAAATCAAGTGATTAAAACACACCCACTAGATATAGAATACATTGTCGTATTGATGTCTGAAAAAAATAATGCTGAATCTTGTTTAGTTTAAACATAAAGGACTGTGCACAAGTTATCAAACCTTAGATGTCCCTCTCCCTTAGATTTACGTGTATGCTTATTTGCAATTAATGTATTAAATGACAGAAGGGAAGTCCAAGTGAAGAAACAGAATACATTAACATTGCTCCCTCAAACATTTATGTTTTCTTCATATATACATGTACATACCTAAAACTGTTTTCGTTCGCATAATTAGGTAAAGGTGAACTGCCAACTAGCATGAAGTCAAATATTAACATCATAAGTATCTTTCACAGTTGACAATAGTGAGAATGATATGTGAACCATATCTCTCATCTAGGAAAACAATATTACGTCTATATTATACACATTTTTCAACGACTGAAAAATGAATCCACCTCATGACATCTACTGAGAGACCAGCTATATACAACAGTGGACTATATTTAATTAAAACTTTTGCAATAAGGAAATGAGAAAACACTGATTCAATTTAAATACATTGTATGCAGGATATTATAAAAATATTATTGTGTTGTGGTCCGATGGCCTTTATTGATGAATAAATGTGTCTGTCTGTATACCACAGTTATGTAATGGCTGGCATATAGGAGGATTCAGAAATGTTGCTCTTGGTTTCAGGAAGGTGCAGCGACGGGACTAGCATTACCCTCACCTGGGAGTCTTCCGAAAAGGAGATAAAGAGAAATATACGCATTAAAGTTTTGGAGGCGTTTGATAATATTTATGAATTTTTACTTGCGGGTTTCAAGGATGACAATTTTCATTTCTCACGAAAAATGGTACAGGACCTCTTTGACGAGTACAGAGTACACATGAGACGGATTTTCGCCCGCTGTGTTGTGATTGAGGTCGCCCATTCAAGCCGTCAGTCAGTCCAGGACATGGAGAGCAGACCAGGCCCGCTTATAAACATATTTAAAGACTTTGTGTTCAATATCACCGGGCTTAAGGTAGAAGTAGAAGTGTCCTTTGAGAGTGTACAAGTAACCGAACCCATGCACCGTTCCAGATATGCATCGTCGCTGACATCAGAAGCAGCAAGGTAGGATTTAACTACAGAACATAGTAATCCAAATCTGTTTCTAGGTGTTTCACATACTGTCACTGCTATGTATGGTCAAGACTCGACTATGTGCAGGCTGCTGTGAATAATAGCTAGACTTTGCTGTCTGCGGTGTAAATAAGATTAATTTTCTTACTCTTCATTTGACAGTGCATATTATGGAATTATTTGATCGATATCATTTTTGTTATCACCACTCTTATGAAGATGCCATAAATTATTACGTAGATTTAGTATTTAACAATGTGCCAAATATAAGATTTGCAGAAATGTAAGCATGATCGCCTTTTTATTCGAAAAACGTATTCTCATCTCTCACAAACTGTACCTAAATTTATATATTATAGGTAATATATTTACTTATATATTTATTTATATAAGTATATTTATATTAGTATTACAAAAGTAATTTTATTTATATAGTTATACATATTATAAGTAACTTTTACCTAAACTTTGCAGGTTTTCCTGGAATGTGCGCCTTAATATATTACGTCATAACATTAGTGATCTGTCAGTCGGGAAAAAAAACGTTTTATGAAAACTACATATATTTGCTTTCATTCAACTTTCTGCACGTGAGCAGTCTGACGGATCACCAGTTCGGCGACGAAGAAACAACGTCGGTCAAGAGTTTCCTGGCTACTGTCTAAGTCAATTATTGCCAGACGCACATAATCAGTCCTCTTGATCTGAACCAAGAATAACTTCTTCAACTGTTGAATCTTTTATCCAAGTGATTTCTCCAGGTTCCCGATGGTCATGTCTGACTCGACAGCCGATAGACAAGGGCTACGCCATGTTTGTAATGAATGAAAGTAGTACCTACCGGACCTTTTTATTTTCACATGTTTCCGTAAATGACCCAAGCGGATACTATTTGTATCCGTTGACTTTAGCCTGCCGATGTATTGGATAAATCACTCAAATCTGTTGGCTCTGGAAGTAGAATTAAGAAATTCGAATAATTTATCCGAATTATGCCATATTATGGTGGTCCCGAGCTCAGAATCTGCATCAAGAATAGTGTGACGTCATCATAAGGGCTTAAATGATAAACGCTTATAAACATCTTATATATATTTTGAAATGAGTCACTTTTGTTCGAATTATTACATTCTGTATGTTGGTCCACACGTACAGAGATGTAGGTATGTGTCTAACACGGCAGACTTCCCCTTGTGACATCTAATGGTCTTTGTCCCCAGCAGACCACAAGCACGGGCCGACGAACTGGAGGACGACGAGCTGTACTGTAGGTCAGGTACACGCACTTATATCATGGCTTTATATACTTAAACGAGTTGTGAAATCAGTTGTGACAATAGTAACATACAAGTCATAACATGCATTTACGGTGTCGGGTGCTGTTTCATAAATACATTGTATTACTTATTGGATTCAAACAATAATATAGTGCAAATGTTTGAAAGTATAATCAAGGCTCAACTCTTCATTCCTGCATTCCGATACGTGAAGACCCGGGTTAGAAGAGGTCTTCAGCAACCCATGCATGTCGTAAGAGGCGACTAACGGGATAGGGTGGTCAGGCTGGCTGACTTGGTTGATGCATGTCATCGTATCCCAATTGCGTGGATCGATGCTCATGATGTTAATCACTGGATTGTCTGGTCCACACTCGATTATTTACAGACCGACGTCATATAGCTGGAATATTGCTGAGTGCGGCGTTAAACAAACATACCTTAAACAGCAATGTACCACATCCCTTATATCACTTATGTCTAATCAATCTTCCGGTGTAATCTACAGTGTAGCTCAATTTCTCCATCAAGCACTCAATATTCGGCAAGAACTTGTAAATACAAATGTCTCCTAGAACGCACATGTATGTTGAAAGTATGTATACATTGTGTGTATTTATACTTTGTATATGGGCCGGAGGCCTTTCATACAATAAACTTCTTGTCTTGTCTTGTCAACAAACATCATACATTCAGCATTCCTTCTGTCCTTTTCTAATATAGTGTTTTAAATCAGATTCTTTTACAGCATTGACTTTTTTGTAGTAGAGATGAAAATACGTTCCATTCCATAATACCTCAAGTCCATCATCCTATCTTCCTATCAGTCGCACTGACATTGTACCACTGATGTGCTCTACTATAAAACACAGGCTAATTAACGGGATATAGAAGTGAGATGGCATGCGGATTAACGTCTCGTTCAAGATATATACGATCACTTATGTAACATGTGTGTGGCTGCTCGTACTAGTCTGGTTTTATAGTACTAGTCAAAAACTCGATTAAGAAACATGTATCTGTAGTAAATGTAAAGTGTTAAGTATAGGTAAAAGCAAGCCTCTCATATTTACTTACGCATCACACGGTGATGCAAAACCTGCAGTATTTATTACAACTTATGATAATAATGGTTTTCCTTTAAGATGCTGATAAGCACGACAGATTGAATTCAAAGGAGCAAGGTCCACTTGCACAAGAAAGCCAGATCAAGTCAATTTTAGACAGAGTGAAGAGCATAAGTATAGGGTTGCAGGAACTTAAGAAAGAAGAAACTAATACCCTAGCTGATTTTGATGAAGTAGCAGAGGCTGGCACACTAAGTCAAACTCCAGAAGTCAAGGGAAAGCACACGAACGATGGACCCACTTGGATGTATCTGCCTGGCAGCAACGTTCCACCAGGCACCATGACGGCCACCGCTGCATTTGCTCAAACCCATCGTCCAGAAAACGTGTTTCATCAACCGTGAGTAGTTCCATTAAATTAAGCTGACTCCCCCGCCCCCCCCCCCCTTTACAACCCCCCCCCCAAAAAAAATAAAAAAAATAAAATAAAATAAATAAATAAATAAAATAAATTAAAAAAACCAAAAAAAACAACCCTTACAACCCCCAACCCCCCCAAAAAAATAAATAAATAAAAATAAAATAAAATAAATAAATAAATAAAATAAATAATTTTTTTAAAAAAAAATAGAAAAGAAAAAGAAAAACAGAACAAAGTACGAGAATCTGTGCTTTACAAAGTAAGTGTTACACCGAATAGTATTCCAGTTGTATCACGGTGTGTCAGCCTAATGTTGGAGGACAACCCAACGATGAATCCGTGCTGACAAACCTAGAAACATAATTGGGGCGAACTGGGAATAACTTGCAACAGTTATTGGTCACAACACTATGTAGAAGATCATCATTAACACTTTTTTAAATTCAAGTCAAAGAACAGCGGAATCCCAAACACCATCGACAGTATTCACTGGAGCTCAGCAGCAAGGCCGTATGGAAGGTACAGGACGTCATCAATCTGACGTTCGTCCCATTGCGACGTCACCAGGCGTCGATCACACTGACACCGATCCCACAGGGAGCAAGCCTCCTCCTCATCCTGCAACCCATGAAGAAGGAGGTGTCCAACAGTAAGGAAAGAATTTCTGTAAAAATCTCAAATCCCAAATAAAGAAATAATAATTTTCTTCAAATATGTTATTTCCACAATATAAACACCCCAAATCAGATGGTATTCGAGTAAAGGGAACTAAGCCGACGGACAAAAAAAAGTATATTGAAAATTGGATTTGATCGAAACATTACAAATTTTATCAAAACGTTACAAGGCTGAAAACAGTCATCGAACAATGCAAACTTAAGGCAGAAACACAACCATGATACCCATAACAAGTTCATTAAACTACGGTTATAACGAACTCGAACTGACCATTAATTTTAGTTCGTACTAACCGCAGTTCGTTATAAGCATGTATACAGCATTTATACAACAAATGGTCGAGACTGAAAAATAAGTTCGTCATATTGGTCAGTTCGTTATATGCGTGTTCGTTATAACCGTATTTTACTGTACATAATCGAATAATCATTTCTCGTTTGTTTCAGGTTTAGCCACCATCAAACATGGGTGTAGAATTTCTTTTACCCGGCAGTTAACATCGATTAACATACACCAGTCAAAATGCTCTGCTTTTTTCTTGAGCCTTTTTTTTCAGTGGCAGTTGTTTTATCACTGTATTTCTGTCAACAGATTTGCCACATCTGCTGGTGGTGCAAAGCCAAAAGTTAAAGGTAAGCACCAGCTGGTATAGCAATCATGACCCCAGTCTTCTATAATAAAATATACGTCTAAGACCTGCATAACGTGAGGCCTTCCTCCCACAGTAAGCTGACACGCCGTGATGTAACTGAAACACTGTTCAAAGCGGCGTTAAACTCAATTCACTCACTAATACAACAAATACAATGTATGCACGGATATGTGTGAGGAACAAATAGTCCCTGGGGTATTTGGTTACAGCTCGCATTTAGAAGTCTGTGAAACAACTACAATGAAAACAAAACACCTTGAATTTAAAAACACATATCATGTGTGATATCAATATTGTCTTTTCAGGGGCGTCAACAGATAGACTGATGGCAATAGCTAAGTCAGCGATTGGACGCGACTCTGAAGTAAGCCTAAAGGCAATAGAGAAGTCGGCACAATCAGCCCTTGAAGATGGTAAGTAATGGATTCAAAACCATGGTGGGTGGTCTCTGGCCCCTCATAGTGTGAATATTGGCATCAGTTTGACGTCATCTAGACATTAAGAAACGGGAGCCCACAACCGCGCCGGGATTGCTGTCTACATGGAGGACGGGCTGTAAAGGGTTAATGCTATTTAATATCAGCAGTGAATACGACAGTTGTAAGCATGATTGTCGAAACAAATAACACTTGGATGTCAAAAGGTTGATCACTATATAAGATACAATTACTGCAGTTGGTTAACTTCGAGGTAATTACTTTTATTAATTATGTCTGTACGTACTAATGCCATATGCGACCTGTGCCACCAGATAATTCCCCTCGAGCTCAGTCTCTTGATACCATCCTCTGCCTCGACTGCTCCCAGAGTATGGCTGGAGACGCCTTCCGACAGATGAAGGACATCGCCGACACATTCATCGATGGTAGGTTGATATTGAACATTTGGTTCGCGCAATATTAAACATGCTGCATAGCTAAGCCGTGACGGATTGGATCGTAAAACTTATATAAAAGCGACAAGACCATTTCCATAATCATATGATTTATTTGTTGTTTAACGCCTCACTCAGCAATAGTCCAGCTATATGACGGCGGTCTGTAAATAATCGAGTGTGGACCAGACAATCCAGTGATTGACATCATGAGCATCGATCCAATTGGGATCGATGACATGCATCAACCAAGTCAGCGAGCCTGACCACCCGATCCCGTTAGTCAACTTTTACGGCAAGCATGGGTTGATGAAGACCTATTCTACCATAGATTTTTACGGGTTCCATAATCATATGAAATATCTGCAAAGTGCAGTATCCGTGTTACCGTTCCAACTATGATAAGCATGTATTCATGCATCACTCTCAAAACGTAATGAAAACAGCTGGTCGGGAAAATGTTAGCGTGTCCTTTCCCACCATTAGTCCCCGTCGCAAGCACATGCAAACTATGGCATGTCAAACTGTTCACCTGAAAAAGCAGGGGAAAATATGGTTCAAGTCGAGATACGTAATTGCATGGGACATTATTTTTTCTCTGATGCGTCAAAATTCGAAATATCCTCCATATGTCGACCATATGAGCATGCTAGGTTGTACCTCCAAAGTTGTGACTGTAGACAACAAAGCTGCTGGAAAGCTGCTTGACAAGGGGAGTTAACGTTTTGAGAGTGTGTTCACTCTGTATCTTCAGATCTAAATATGAAACTGAAGCCCATTTCTGGTGTGCCCCACCGTGATATTGCTGGAATATTGCTAAAAGCGGCGTAAAACCATAGTCACTCACTCACTCACTAAATATGAAACAGATGAGGGGATATCACTGAATTCCTTTATTTCTAGTGCAGGTAGGTATATAGGTGGAAGGGAATTGGCTATTTGATGACTATTGAACGATCATCGATTTACCTGAAGCTTAAGGTAACTTCATAGCCAAATTACCAACTTTGCCAACCCGAGCAGAAATTCCACGTCAAATGCATTAAGACACAGAACAGCAAGAAGGGGAGCACAAGTGGTGCTCATGGTGATGTCCACTGCTGGTCTAAATGTCTTGCGCCCAAAGTTTACGTAGGTATTACCAATGATATATATAATATATATATTAATTCAATTTAAATATCATTACTAACGTCTGATTAGTTCAAAGTTTGGTTTTATTCCAATATATATCAGACGTTAGTATTGATATTTACATTGAATTAATATATATTTATATTACAATTCAAAATCAGTGAAAGCGAATTGGCTGTTTGACCATTATTGAACGATACCAGATCATCTTTACACCTGAAGGTTAAGTTTAACTTCTTGGCCAAATCCCCAAGCTTTCGGGGGGCGCCATGCAAGAAACACTTACTTCTTTATGCATTCATATAATTTTCACAGCTATTTTGCATTTTAGCTGATGGAATCTGTTTCTTCGGATAATCAAGGATGGTTATTCTCTGGCGTTGACGTTTTATATTCAATCACCGTCTGTAACTCAGAATATTTACAGTCACTTACCAGGTATATTACTGTCTGCGCGTAAAACACTATTCAGTTACAGTTCAATTATCCACACACAGCTGAGGCACAAAGTCAAGCCACCTTTCTCTGTACAGGTCTTGAGGATATCGCTGAGAATCATACTCTGGAGGAGAACGTTGCTGTGGTCAGCGTGTCTGGTCGAGCAAGGGTGGTCCAGCAGCTTACTAACGACTACTCCAAAGTCAGAGATGCTCTCGGTCAGTATCTAGATTTTGCCCTTCACTCAACTACCTCAGACATAGTATATAATAATGTAACTGGTTAAACGTATTTATGTTTTTGTCTCTGTCTTCAGATTCACTAAAACCAGAAGGCAGGTCACCACTATTTGAAATGCTGATCGTCGCTTTGGCAGCTATCCAGGGGAAAGGTGATACTGTCACATAACATATACTACTCCATATAACAATATCACAATTTGATGACGAGGCAATGTATGTTGATATTTACTTTGTCAATCCCTTACAAGAGACAAATTACAGGAACATTAATATATATTAACTCATTGGTGACTATTGTGAAAGTCAATGTGTGCTTAGCCCCTTGAATTTAATTCGACTAGGTGGTGTGCTTACTGTGACCAAAGTTCACCGACTCCGTCCCAGGATTATTGTGATCACTGATGGAAAACTGACAGACGAAAGTCAAGATTTCGGCCCCGACATCCAGTCAGCAAACGTGCGTTATTTTCACCAATAATATAATGCTGCTCCTTCTGACATATTCAACGTGTTATTGACTTAATTCTGGAATAGGTGGTCTCAGTTCCAAGCATAAAGGATTGTTATTAAGGCATATATATATGACCTGGAAAAGAAACGTGGCAGATCTCGTTTTATCGTTTTCATAAAATATATACTTTCAATTCAAGTTTACAGACAAACTGTGGAATGTATTATCTCGTTTTTAGTAGATAACTGAATTGAAAATATGTTAGGTATATGTTTCAGGCTAAAGTTCCCATCATCAATCTCATGATGGAACTAGGATCCAAGAAACACAAGACCAAGCCCTCTCCCATTGTCTGGATTCCAGTCGGCGACGCTGATACAGTAAGACTGATGTTGACTGCAGTCCAGGAATATGCCATTAGTTCTGTGCATTATGTGTGTTAGTTGTTCTTCCTGGGTTTTATGTATTAAACATGAACATAATGGTATCACAATCGACGAATAGAAGCTGAGGACCAATTTCTAATCCCAAGAGCTATGTTTTTCAGGACTTGCTGACGTCTCTTGCCAAACTTGGTAATGGGCAGGTGGCAGAGGCAGAGGATATACCAAAGCTGATACGTTACTATCAAATACAGGTACTAACAATGTTCTGCATAGAGTGATCTATTCAGTCGATAGAATACTTTTTCTGGAAAAATGTTCTGACAGACGTTGAACTCGATAGTGTAACCCACTGACGACCCTTTGAGAACTACTACCTGCTTGTAGCTTTTAGAAGTGTAAATACAATACATACGTGCATGATGACTGAAGAAATAATATGATTCTATTACAGGACAGTATAGGCAAGATCTATGCGTGTGTCCGCTCCAGTAAGGACGACTTCCCGAACGTCCAGCAGGCGATAGAGGCTGTAGCTAATGCTATCGTGGGCGAAGTCAATCCGAGCGACATGGTAAGTGATGCACTGGAGGCTCCATAACGCGCCCAATATATCTTTATCAGACGAATTGTCCTGAACAAACTCTCAGTAGTATATTGAGAAAAAGAAGCATGTGTACATAGCCGTAACTGACTTGTAGCTAGGTGATGCACGGAACAGACACGCCTAAATATAAAACGTCAACCCAAGATAAAACCAGCGTGTCGTCCCAATTATCCGACGAAACAGATACCATTGGGAGTAAACGGCAAAACAGCGGTGAAAATGATATGAATGGATCACTGAAAATTATTGATGACACCAGGTATTCGTGAAAAGGATAAACATGTCCTGCGCCCCGGTAGCACCCGCCACTCACACAATCGCCAAAATGCATCGATAATCTAGTCAGATCTAATCGTAACCTAATTGGGACAATTACCTAAAGACGTGTCTTATTTGAGGTTACATCTGTTGAGACCTGTCGTTGTTCTTCTGACAGGATGAGATTGTAGCTGCTGTGAGTGAGAAGCTCAAAAGTAAGAATGAAGACGCGAAACCTGACGACTTTGACAATGTGTACGAGAACCCTGACCTAGCACCCCTTGGGAGCAGAGTGATGAGAGGTAAAGACTGGAAGTGGGAGGATCAGGACTTGCAGGGCGTGGGCACCATCATCAACCACGATGAGAACGAAAGTAAGACTCCTTGATCGGGTTGCCATGGCCACGTAAACACAGACATACCATTTGGAAAGTTTATTTTTTGGAATTGCAGTTTAATTTAAAATCACATTCAATTTTAGCATGTTCTATTGCCATTGTTGGACTAGAGTCAATATCGACGCCATATTCGGAACATTCGCCTCCACCTATAGCTCCTGCTCTTTTCCTTTGCAAAATGCCCTAATTTCGACGGCACGCTTGAATGAAACCATAACAAAGTTAAAATCTGACTTAAAACATGCTTATTAAGTTTAGAATGATGTTCGTGGATAAAGTGATTTCTTACAGTATTCTGATATAAAAGAAATTCAAAAATAATTGTGACAGTATGTGGTCATGTTCTTCATGTTATATGAATGTTGTGCTTATGTTACGATTTGAAGTCAGTTTTCGTTGATTGGAATGCATATGTTCCTTATAGATATGTAAAAAATCCCGGTGTATTTTTTCATAATGATCATGATCATGTTACCTTCCAGACTGGGTGTGGGTACTCTGGGACAGCGGCGAGAGGAACCGGTACCGCTACAACCTAAATGGTGTCTTTGATGTAGCTACAGTTGACGGACGTCATCGCATCCCGGAGTCAGATCAGTTCCTCCAACTTGGGGTCAGAGTAAAACGAGGTGAACACATTTCATACTGCGCATTTCTGACGTTGACTTCCGTTGTAAATGATATCGGACTGTTCTGGGGATATCCATATCATCCTTGTGTCTGAAGAAAACATTGATAGTATTAACGCCACATACTAAAAGCATCTCTGTACCGGTACAGTATGTAATTCTGTTCTTATGTGCGGCTTATGACATCTTAAGATAACATTGGCAAATGCTTCTTGGAGAATCCTCGTGTTATGTTGTTGAAAATGATCTCTAATACTCAGAGCCATGTTTTTCAGGACTTGCTGACGTCTCTTGATATGTCTCACGTAATGGAAAATTGTGCTGTGAAATACCTATAAAAAAATGTAACGTTCTTTAGCACTCTCCTCTACCCCCTACACCCCCCCCCCCCCCCACACACACACACACACACACACACACACACACTCTCTCTGTGTGTGTATTTTACAACAGGATAAACCGTATACTCGACAAGGGAGTATGAATTATGGATTTGCTTGTGATGCTATGTCAGGTCGGGGCTGGCAGTCATTGAACCAGGACGGGGTAGATGGTAACACCGGTGTCGTCATCAGGCGGAGGGGAGACCAGGAAGTGAAGGTAGGGGTTATTAACAAGACTTAGTGTCTCTCTTGCACCATGCAATATCCAAAGGCCCGGAACTATCATGGAACATTATCATGTAGAAGCAGGGACACCGAAGAAAGCCAATATATTGGATAAATGCAGTAGATCTACTTACGCTGGGACATCGTCGGTCACATACTGGCTGATGCAGGGTGCAGAATCATCTCACCAGCGTCCAAACTTGAATATAACCGCGATGAAATGAACAGAGTGTAGATGAACAGGATAGAGTTGGAAGCAAAAGTGAACAGTTCAGCTGTAATCTGTTTCCTATTACAAGCAAATACGTGTTGAACTTAAAACGAGTATATGACGGCGGCCGGCAAGAGGACAAAACTTACAGAAACTTTTCAGACAGATTGTATCCAAAAACAATATTTTGTAAATGGCTGAAGTACTTTTGTAGAAAAAATTCACCCAGTCGCGACTGTACGTCAATTTTAATGATGAAAATACAAGATCAAAATGTGAAGCGCAGTTAACCTTTGTCGTATCCCATTTCCCCCCTCCCCTCCCGTCGAAAAAAAAAGAACCAGAATAAATAAAATGAATAATATCATAAAATAATCCACCACAATTTTACAAATATTTTCACTTCACCCGACGGACGATTCTTTACAGAATCATTTACAAAGGACTAAAAAGCATTTTGATTATTGGCCCTTTGGCTTTTGAACAAACTCCGTTTACAAGTAAATAGAAAGGTCCAGCTGTGGAGACAACTTATTTGTATGCGCTTGTATCTCACTTGGACCAACACATCTTTGTATCCTATCATCATCAGGTGCGGTGGAATAACGGTAACATAACAACCCATAGATTTGGAAAGGATGGAGTATACGAACTGGAAATATGGTGAGTACGAAGAGTTATTTGACTTTGTTACAAACATATAGAACATAATGTGTTGGTACATTTTCACATTTTGTACAGAAATGTGGTAGGATATTGATGCTGAAATGTTTTCAACAATGCCAAATTTGCACACGGTCGGCTTTTGTGATGTTATAACATACAAGTATATATCTCGAAACGAAATATTAAGGTTAGGTATATTCAAAAGTGTGTTTGTTTGTTGTTTTGTTACAAAACACACACACACACACACACAAACACAGACATACACACACACACACACACACACACACACTTCAGCATCACATTAGCTGTATTGATACCAAACAGTTTCATCAATACTTCACACTCGAGATGACACGCCTTGACTGCAATGGTGTTGCAGCGACCCGCTCCTCAACGCAAAGGATCCGAAGCCACCACACCTGGGTACAGAGTGGAGGTTCCCACAGACTGGACGACTACAGGACACAGGTATGTGTTTGTCTCACGGTCATGCCTGAGTCATGGAGTCGAGCCTTCAGTGTTGTACACGGGTACACAGAGTGCCACCTTATTGAAGACTTGACCCCAGGACACAGGTATGTGTTGTACATGGGTACACATAGTGTCAGCTAACTGAAGACTTGACCCCAGGACACAGGTATGTGTTGTACACGGGTACACATAGTGTCAGCTAACTGAAGACTTGACACCAGGACACAGGTATGTGTTGTACACGGGTAAACATAGTGTCAGCTAACTGAAGACTTGACACCAGGACACAGGTATGTGTTGTACACAGGTACACAGAGTGCACCTTACTGAAGACTTGACCCCATCACACAGGTATGTGTTGTACACGGCTGCACAATGTGTCACCTTATTGAAGACTTGACCCCAAGGACACAGGTATGTGTTGTACACGGGTACACAGAGTGCAACCTTACTGAAGACTTGACCCCAGGACACAGGTATGTGTTGTACACGGGTAAACATAGTGTCAGCTAACTGAAGACTTGAGCCCAGGACACAGGTATGTGTTGTACACAGGTACACAGAGTGCACCTTACTGAAGACTTGACCCCAGCACACAGGTATGTGTTGTACACGGCTGCACAATGTGTCACCTTATTGAAGACTTGACCCCAAGGACACAGGTATGTGTTGTACACGGGTACACAGAGTGCAACCTTACTGAAGACTTGACCCCAGGACACAGGTATGTGTTGTACACGGGTAAACATAGTGTCAGCTAACTGAAGACTTGAGCCCAGGACACAGGTATGTGTTGTACACAGATACACAGAGTGCACCTTACTGAAGACTTGACCCCAGCACACAGGTATGTGTTGTACACGGCTGCACAATGTGTCACCTTATTGAAGACTTGACCCCAAGGACACAGGTATGTGTTGAACATGGGTACACAGAGTGCCACCTTACTGAAGTCTTGACCCCAGGACACAGGCATGTGTTGTACACAGATTCACAGAGTGCCACCTTACTGAAGACTTAACTTCAGGACACAGGTATGTGTTGTATACGGGTACACATATTGCCACCTACCTGAAGACTCGACCCCATGACACAGGTATGTGTTGTACACAGATACACAGAGTGCCACCTTACTGAAGACTTAACCCCAGGACACAGGTATGTGTTGTATACGGGTACACATATTGCCACCTACCTGAAGACTCGACCCCATGACACAGGTATGTGTTGTACACAGATACACATATTGCCACCTACCTGAAGACTCGACCCCATGACACAGGCATGTGTTGTACACAGATACACAGAGTGCTACCTGACTGAAGACTTAACCCAAGGACACAGGTATGTGTTGTATACGGGTACACATATTGCCACCTACCTGAAGACTCGACCCCATGACACAGGTATGTGTTGTACACAGATACACAGAGTGCTACCTGACTGAAGACTTAACCCCAGGACACAGGTATGTGTTGTATACGGGTACACATATTGCCACCTACCTGAAGACTCGACCCCATGACACAGGTATGTGTTGTACACAGATACACACAGTGCCAGCTTACTGAACACTTGACCCCAGGACACAGGTATGTGTTGTACACGGGTAAACATAGTGTCAGCTAACTGAAGACTTGACCCCAGGACACAGGTATGTGTTGTACACAGGTACACATAGTGCCACCTTACTGAAGACTTGACCCCGGGACACAGGTATGTTTTGTACACCGGTACACATAGTGCCACCTTACTGAAGACTTAACCCCAGGACACAGGCATGTGTTGTACACAGGTACACAGAGTGCCATCTTAATGAACACTTGACCCTAGGACACAGGTATGTGTTGTACACGGGTACACATAGTGCCATCTTACTGAACACTTGACCCCAGGACACAGGTATGTGTTGTACACAGATACACATAGTGCCACCTTATTGAAGACTTGACCCCAGGACACAGGTATGTTTTGTACACCGGTACACATAGTGTCACCTAACTGAAGACTTGAGCCCAGGACACAGGTATGTGTTGTACACGGGTACACATAGTGTCAGCTAACTGAAGACTTGACCCCAGGACACAGGTATGTGTTGTACACCGGTACACATAGTGTCACCTAACTGAAGACTTGACCCAAGGACACAGGTATGTGTTGTACACGGGTACACATAGTGTCAGCTAACTGAAGACTTGACCCCAGGACACAGGTATGTGTTGTAAACGGGTGCACATAGTGTCACCTACCTAAAGGACTTGACCCCAGAACACAGGCATGTGTTGTACACCGGTACATAAAGTGCTACCCAACTGAAGACTTGACCCCAGGACACAGGTATGTGTTGTACACAGATACATAGAGTGCCACCTACCTGAAGACTTGAGCCCAGGAGACAGGTATGTTTTGTACACAGGTACACAGAGTGCCACCTTATTGAAGACTTGACCCAAGGACACAGGTATGTGTTGTACACGGGTACACATGGTGCCACCTTCCTGAAGACTTGACCCCAGGACACAGGTATGTGTTGTACACGGGTAAACATAGTGTCAGCTAACTGAAGACTTGACCCCAGGACACGGGTATGTTTTGTACACGGGTACACATAGTGCCACCTTACTGAAGACTTGACCCCGGGACACAGGTATGTTTTGTACACGGGTACACATAGTGCCACCTTACTGAACACTTGACCCTAGGACACAGGCATGTGTTGTACACAGGTACACATAGTGCCATCTTACTGAACACTTGACCCTAGGACACAGGTATGTGTTGTACACAGGTACACAGAGTGCCACCTTACTGAACACTTGACCCTAGGACACAGGCATGTGTTGTACACAGGTACACATAGTGCCATCTTACTGAACACTTGACCCTAGGACACAGGTATGTGTTGTACACAGGTACACAGAGTACCACCTTACTGAACACTTGACCCCAGGACACAGGCATGTGTTGTACACAGGTACACATAGTGCCATCTTACTGAACACTTGACCCTAGGACACAGGTATGTGTTGTACACAGGTACACAGAGTGCCACCTTACTGAAGACTTAACCCCAGGACACAGGCATGTGTTGTACACAGGTACACATAGTGCCATCTTAATGAACACTTGACCCTAGGACACAGGTATGTGTTGTACACGGGTACACATAATGCTATCTTACTGAACACTTGACCCCAGGACACAGGTATGTGTTGTACACAGATACACATAGTGCCACCTTATTGAAGACTTGACCCCAGGACACAGGTATGTTTTGTACACCGGTACACATAGTGTCACCTACCTGAAGACTTGAGCCCAGGACACAGGTATGTGTTGTACACAGATACACAGAGCGCCACCTTACTGAAGACTTGACCCCAGGACACAGGCCTGTGTTGTACAAAGATACACAGAGTGCTACCTGACTGAAGACTTGACCCCAGGACACAGGTATGTGTTGTACACGGGTACACATAGTGTCAGCTTACTGAAGACTTGACCCCAGGACACAGGCATGTGTTGTACACGGGTACAAAGAGTGCCACCTTACTGAAGACTCGGCCCCAAGACACAGGCATGTGTTGTACACGGCAACACAGAGTTTCACCTTATTTAAGACTTGACCCCAGGACACAGGTATGTGTTGTACACGGGTGCACAGATTACCACCTTACTGAAGACTCGACCCCAAGACACAGGCATGTGTTGTACACAGGTACACATAGTTCTTTCTGACTGAAGACTCGACCCCAGGACACAGGCATGTTTTGTACACGGGTACAAAGAGTGCCACCCAACTGAAGACTCGACTCCAGGACACAGGTGTGTTTTGTACAGGTGCACGTGTGGTCTCACCTTACTGAGGCTAGACCCTATGACACAGGTATGTGTTTTACAGGTGCACGTGTGGTCTCACCTTACTGAGGCTCGACCCCAGGACTCAGGTTTGTGTTTCACAGGTGCACGTGTGGTGTCACCTTACTGAGGCTCGACCCCAGGACTCTGGTATGTGTTTTACAGGTGCACGTGTGGTGTCACCTTACTGAGGCTAGAGGCCAGGACACAGGTATGTGTTTTACAGGTGCACGTGTGGTCTCACCTTACTGAGGCTTGAGGCCAGGACACAGGTATGTGTTTTACAGGTGCACGTGTGGATACACCTTACTGGGGCTAGTGCCACCTAACATCTAGACTACAGGGGTTTGTTATGAGACAGCTGAGACATATATGACATGGGACAAATGGAGATATATCTCCTAGGACCCGTGGACATATATTACACATTATAATTTAGCCTAGCAGCTCTGTAAGAGCGGATGTACCGCGCGGCTCGAGAGAATGATTACTGTTTCAGTTCCGGAAAGTCCGCTGGTGGAGGAGGACTCTCGCCCGACCGTGTGGAGGTGGAAAGACGGGCGGCAGTGGCGTCTGTACCAGGACGACCTGCAGGTAAAGATTCAGCAGGAGTACAACAGAAAGAAGGACGGGACGTGCTTAGTGAAGAAACGGGATGGAAGGTAAATAATGAATATTCTACAGTTACTACTGATATCATGCTAATGAGCCATAATTGTAAATAACATATTTTTGTTCTTTTGTAATTTTCAGCTACCGGCTATACTTCAAATCTATGCAAGAAAAATCATTAGAAGGAAACGTACGCCATGACGTACAAAGACACCGTAAGTATCACTTTTCATTATACTGATAACTGCAACTGCACTTAGAAGTCCTTAAAAGTGAAACAAATGTTTGAGCGAACATTTCGTTTGATAGAAAAATGTAATTGTTTGAGTTATGTTATGTTATGTATATTGAATGTTCGTGTCTTCAGTGACACGGAAAACACAACACAAAGTTATAGATGCTTAATTAAGAAATGCTTTCAAATTAAAGATATTCCAAAGCTGCAAAGATGTTTGAGTGAAATGTGAACATTGTATTTGTGATTAATTTCAGCTCTAGTTGACGGGGAACTTGCAAATCTTAGAGCAGCCGAATCGCTCCAGCAGTAACACATCCATTCCAGACCGACAACCAGGTCTGCCGAAAAACAGTAACTGAAACTGTAGAAACACCGGGGTTTGGTTACTGTTTTTCTACTGTTTTTCTACAGTACTGAGTAGAAAGGTGGTAAACCATGTACTGAGTGAGATGGGTATAACGCTGCATTAAACAGTATATCAGTTATATCAGGGCGAGACAGCTTGATGACAGACGAAAGCCCGAATCGATGCAGATCTTGTACCACATTGGTGAAACCCACGAGCACGGAAACGTTTCTGACAAACCTAGAAAAAAAATCAGGTCTACCAAGACTCGAAACCGCGATCATAGGTTTCTAGTATAGCGAATCGCAGCACCTTAGACGACCGATCCACCCGTTTACGGGTAAATTCCTATGACATCAGAGGACAGAACTACAGTGATGAGCAACAACCAACTATACCATAACAAAATTAGAAAAGAAGTCGATTAGGATGTAATGCTGGCTCTACACCCTAAACCCCGCCCCAGTGGTGGGAGAAGTAGAGCAGAGGTTGGCTTTACACCCTAAACCCCGCCCCAGTGGTGGGAGAAGTAGAGCAGAGGTTGGCTTTACACCCTAAACCCCGCCCCAGTGGTGGGAGACGTAGAGCAGAGGTTGGCTCTACATACTAAACCCCGCCCCAGTGGTGGGAGACGTAGAGCAGAGGTTGGCTTTACACCCTAAACCCCGCCCCAGTGGTGGGAGACGTAGAGCAGAGGTTGGCTCTACATCCTAAACCCCGCCCCAGTGGTGGGAGACGTAGAGCAGAGGTTGGCTCTACACCCTAAACCCCGCCCCAGTGGTGGGAGACGTAGAGCAGAGGTTGGCTCTACACCCTAAACCCCGCCCCAGTGGTAGGAAACGTAGAGCAGAGGTTGGCTCTACATCCTAAACCCCGACCCAGTGGTGGGAGACGTAGAGCAGAGGTTGGCTCTACATCCTAAACCCCGCCCCAGTGGTGGGAGACGTAGAGCAGAGGTTGGCTCTACACCCTAAACCCCGCCCCAGTGGTAGGAAACGTAGAGCAGAGGTTGGCTCTACACCCTAAACCCCGCCCCAGTGGTAGGAGACGTAGAGCAGAGTATGTCTTCATGACCAGCATCCCGTGTTTGTCGCAAGTGTCCACGATGACATTGCGATTGAGTGGTGGCAGTGCATGATTGTGTTTTGTTGTACCACAAAGCCGTATATTGGTGCTCATGCTATCAACCAGTTGTTTGTGGACATGACGTATCAGGTGTTATATGTTGGAGTATCACAGTGGTTCTCTCCACTTCCGCACATAATTCACCTCATGTAGCTTGAAGGGGCGGTCGGGTAGCCTAGTGGTTTAAGCGTTCGCTCGTCACCCCGAAATCCCGAGTTCTATTTCCGACATGGGTACAATGTGTGAAGCCCATTTCTTGTGTCCCCCGCCGTGATATTGCTGTAATATTGCTAAAAGCGGCGTAAAACCATACCCACTCACTCACGCATGTGGCTTGATAGATCCAATCAATGTAACATTGTCTGATGCGAGTGTTCTTGTATATATTTCAGCAATGTTTACACGAATGTTCCGTGCCAAACAGGTTATATGTGTTCAAATGTGTACACTATGTGTACGTAGGTCAATTGATATGATGCTTTGTGTTCATTTTTGCTTATCAAACGTTTTCCTCTCATCCTATCATATGATGTTGAAATAGTTTCATTTTGATATATGAATTCATGATACATTCTGGAGACAGGCCAGATAGACGGGACAACACTCCTCTCATGAGACACAAATGTATATTATGTCCATCAAATGACACTGTAGATGAATACGATCACTTGCTTAATGGTGTGTATTTCAATGAAACAAGAAGAGGCTTCCTATCTTCTTATAACATTAATTGACCATCAATTTTCAAAATGACTCCTTTCTTTCAATGTAAAAACATATTTTATCTGAGAAAGCTTTCTTTCTTTCGTCACATTCTTTGTACACATTAATAGAACAACTATTGTATATTTGTTTATATATAACAATACACCTATGTACACTCTTCGTTTGCTTTGACTAAGCCTTGAGTGAATAAAGTTATTTTCTTTTCTTTTTTATTGTACACGAACTTCGAAGCCTATCACTGTTTGACTTGATAGAAAGGTGATGGAACACAATCAAAGTATACTGATGGCTCCAACGATTCAACTCAGTGTTTGAAGTTGTAGTTGTGGTTGTGTTAAGTTTGATTTAAGTCATTCAGTTAACACTGTGGTTGCATGCACTCTTTTAGTACTTCAAAGGATAGATCCACATTAGTGACCGACCATAATATCAAATGGTCTATCCCTTAAGTACCCAGAGCTATCGGATGGTCACACTGACTATTCGTATAAATAATACCTGGGCAGGTCAATGGTGAGCGATCTCTCAGGTGACCTTGATAATTCTATGTCTTTATACCTCGACAGGATGACCGTTAGTGTAAGCCATCTATCATGTGACCGTGTTAATTGTGTGTCACCGTACCTCGACAGAGTGACCGCCATCGTGAGTCATCTAGCATGTGACCTTGTTAATTGAGTCTCACCGTACCTCGACAGGGTGACCTCCATTGTGAGTCATCTAGCATGTGACCTTGTTAATTGAGTCTCACCGTACCTCGACAGGGTGACCGCCATCGTGAGTCATCTATCATGAGACCTTGTTAATTGAGTGTCCCCATACCTCGACAGGATGACCGCCATCGTGAGTCATCTATCATGAGACCTTGTTAATTGAGTGTCAACATACCTCGACAGAGTGATCGCCATCGTGAGTCATCTATCATGAGACCTTGTTAATTGTGTGTCACCGTACCTCGACAGAGTGACCGCTATCGTGAGTCATCTATCATGAGACCTTGTTAATTGTTTGTCACCGTACCTCGACAGGATGACCGCCATCGTGAGTCATCTATCATGAGACCTTGTTAATTGTTTGTCACCGTACCTCGACAGGATGACCGCCATCGTGAATCATCTATCATGTGACCTTGTTAATTGAGTGTCACCGTACCTCGACAGGGTGACCTCCTTCGTGAGTCATCTATCATGAGACCTTGTTAATTGAGTGTCATCGTATTTTCGACAGGGTGACTGTCAATGTGAATCATCTATCAGGTGACCTTGTTAATTGTCATCTCCCCGAGGAAAGAGAAGTAACGGACTGTAAAGTTCGAGTTTCCACCCTTGCCGAACTAGGCTCAAATTTCTGGGCTCGATCGTAGCGCCACCAGTAACCATTACGATGTATGGCCCTGCTATTGACCACTCAGATTCCACTTCTCGCTTCAAATAAAATGGCAATGCCCATCAAGACCATCTAAAAGATAATCAAGATCTATATTGTGATAAAACGGGTCTTACTTCGCAAAGTGCATCAAATCACGTGAGCACCCTGCTTAAAAACATGAAAAGATTTGGAAAATATCTGTTGACGCCGATCTGGCGGTACATATAATTTGCAAATCCTGCATTCGACCGAAATGTGCACGGCATTTTACGAACCGGATGACGATTTCGTTACGCGCTTTTGATTGGACTATGCATATACTCGTTAGTCCAGCCAAAATATAACTCATTGATTCCAGCCTGGTTCGGCAATGTTGGAAACTGGACTTTTATAGTCAGTTAGCTCCCTTGACTCGGGAAGATGGTTAATTGTGTGTCATCGTACCTCGACCGGGTGACAGATAGTGTAAGTCCTCTATCACTGACTTGGTCATTGTGTGTCATCGTACCTCGACCGGGTGACAGATAGTGTAAGTCCTCTATCACTGACTTGGTCATTTTTGTGTCATCGTACCTCGACCGGGTGACAGATAGTGTAAGTCCTCTATCCTGGGACTTGGTTACTAGTAATTGTGTCATCGTACTTCGATGCGGTTACTACAGGTGACAATAATTATATACAGCTGTCATGTGACATTCTGGGTAAGTGTAAACTGGATCCCTGTCGCTGTTCCGATCCTTCTGTCACAACTGTATAGAAAGATATGAAGCAAATTCAACTCAAACTCACTCTCACTCTCAGTCATACACTGTGAAGGTGATGGATATCCATTTCTCATTTGGTCATGATACGAGACTGGCCGTCAGCACACCTTGGCAGTCCACTGATCTTGTTGCTTATTCCGCACACATGTTCAGATGACAATACAACTGTAACTTCTTTCCCAGGTGTGAGGCGGGCGCGGCAATGTGAACCCTATGATTTAATTTTGTACTCTTAATTCCTTGTTTCATCACAAAATCAATTCGAAAAAATAATCATGGATATCGTAAAATAGTTAGTGATATCACAAATACACATGAACATCATGAAATTTGTGATATCTTAATGTGTATTTTGTAATATTGAAAAAAAGTATTGTATCTATTATATGGTCTCTGACTGTATCATATAAACAATCGATTTGGGAACATACTTGAACAATAACAATAAATGTATCTATACTGATATCTCAAAGTCTAATTTATGATAAAATAATTTATAATAAATAAAAGGTAAATATTCTTAATGAACATTCAATCACAAAACTCCTTTGATGATTTAAACACACGCGCATAGAGACCATGCATAAAAAGCTCTGTCCAAAGAGAGAGAGATATATATATATATATATATATGGCTATTCAGTTTAACTACCTACATGTTGCTCTTCGCAAAATAGCTTCCGGCTAAGACTTAACACAACCCCAAACTCTCCTTTGTCTGTCCCATTTCCATGGAGACGGATCGAATCATTTGTCAGAAGAGGAGCCAATTCTTGGTGTTTCCCGCGGTGATATGAGTGGAAAATTCCCGTCAGCGGCGTTAAACCCTGCCCACTCTCGCAGTCGTTAGGCAGAAATCGTGCTTGACTGTAGTTACCTCCCTTGCAGCCAAGCCCCCTGTCGTGCTCTTGACGCACTTCCCACGGCTGAAATAGGCTCAAACTGCTCAATGGTTTAAGGGTTTGCCAGTGCGAAAATAAAACTATGGGCGGTCTTCCCTAGAATGTGCACACTAAGATAAACGGTTCACGATATGTTCCAGTTGACCTAGACAGATGTGAGAGCTGTTCGGTAGGTGAAACAGCATTCACGTATTGATGGTGAGCTGATCAACTCCAGACGCGGGCGGAAATGGTTATGCACTGGGTGTTTAAATAATAGAACATATATTTGGTGACTATGATAAATAATAATAATGTATTCCATTGTTTTGGAATATTTATATTATTGAAATACAAAACTATATTCTGTTATATATAGACCGTAAACAAAAGTAAAATATTACAAATATATGTAAATTATATATAATAAAGCATACATAGCGTCATTAATAGATGTTGTTAGTGGATGTATCGGATGAAATGAAATATTTTGCATTACGTCAATTCGCAATAAATCTATTTTGAAATAACTGAATAAGATGTATAAGCATCTGCAAAGCGAAGATACGATTTTTCTTTTATCATTTTTTAGGAGGTCGGGGTGGGTTGTACCCATCATACACAAATAAAAAGAGTTAGATGTGTTTCCTATGTGAAATAAATATCCTTGTTTTTTATTCTTTAATCTTTTTGTTCAACATTAGATATACGAGTAGTAAATTTAAGAAATTATTAACGGTGATTACATGGTATGTCGGGACATTTATTTAAACTTTATTTTATAAATGAAATTCGTATTTTCTTAAAGATTTATTTTCTCTTAAATAATCCGTTCCATTAATCGATCAATTTAAATGATTGAGGTATACCCAGGCCTACATCAAATGTTTGTATCTATATGTTCTGATCATATATCGAACAAACTTTGTTATAATTATCTATTTGGTATTGTTTCAAAATATATAGATCATAATTAATGCGACAGAAGAATCAACATGCAGTCCATTTTCGGACTAACAACAGGATATCATCACTTCAGAATCGTGGTACACAAACCACACATGTGGCGTATAAAATGCATAACGACCCAAGATGTGGCAGAACTAAGGTGTTACATTTTTAGAGACGTTTCATTCTGAGATTCCTGTGTATGGTGTATATGATATGTGGGCTACCAGCCAAACACCACCTACACACGCGATCCGCTTTCGCAGCAAAAGCCGATCCGACTCCCAATCGATTTTCACGCACGCGCAGTGTGACCTAGATGGTTCAGCAGACATTGTCTCGACGGGTCTGGGTGTAGACTTTGCTCGATTCTCAACACCCATATTGGGGTGCTGTGATTTCATATTACCTTCATTCATATGTCGTGACTAACTAAAGGACTTATTTCGACATTTAAGGTGAGTTGGGATGCATTTGATCACGTAGTTTCCATGCTAACGACCGATATTCAGGTGACCCCCGAACCAAAACAACCATCTGGTGACTTCCCATTTCGCCTAGACGTCTTCAAATCGATACAGATAGCGTTCTGAAAGGTTTTATATCAGATCCTTCCTATATGGTAGCTGTTTTAGCTACCAAGTGCCTATATGCCGGATGTTTGAAATGTGTAGAGTTGTATTTAGTGTGTGTCCCACGTTCTATTCCAGTGCAGACAATGAGCGAGCGAACCCGCTGGTTTCGTTATCATAAGGGGCCCATTTTGGGTTGGAAAATTCTAAACGTGTTTTGTTAGATGTTACATATGATTCGATATCTCGATATATAGACAGAGAATTTGATTAAAATATAAAGACATTTGAACATCATGCTAATTGCAAATTAATTTGCTGTCTGTAAATTGGAGGTTGTTTCTGTAAATTATAATGTCTGAAGTATTTCGGCCCAAAGTGGGCCAGTGGATGTTGCCAGGTGCCGTGATAAATTTATCTTTGTCATATTGCCTTGTCCATAAATATAATTTTAGATGTGTAATCAACATGACAAATGCCTTAAAATCCCAATTTGGTTATGGTGATTATTTGAGGAACAAGCATGAACATCATAAATGCAATTGTTTTTAGATTTTCACTTGTGGAGTTTAGTTTGTCAAGATTGTTTGTATTTAGCATGGACGATACAATTATCTCAACTGCCAAGTAACATAATGCCGCAAACATATGAGCCAAAGTTCACTTTATTCATTTGTTCAATTTACCTCTAAAGCCTCTTGTGATTTGTCAAGTGTGTATTGTGGTGTGGCAAACTTACGGTTATGACAATTCAAGTTAAGAAATAATATGGAAAAGCTTAAAGAGACAATATACTTTGTGCGGTCAGGTGTGAAACTAGTGCCCTGAGTGAAACTGAGGCATTGCTGCATCTGCTTAGGTCAACTGAGTAATTATAGCCTTTTTAACCACTAGTCAGGAGTTTTGAGTCTGGTAAGATTTCTGTTGGTTTTCTTAAGTTAGCTAATATTTGTACATATACTATATGTTACTTCGTCTAAAAACAAGCTATTGAAAATAATATGTAGACACATGTTGGGGTTAGTAGTAGAAACAATAGTCTTTTGCTCAAACGACAATTAGGGTAAGTATTAACTGCTCGATTCATTTACATCATAGTATTTTAGTTGTCGCTATGCAGACAAACAATGTGGACTAGGAATTGCTAATGGGCCCCAGCCATGTTACTCTTTGAGTCCAGGACAGTTAATTTATTAATTTAGTTGACCAACAACATTGAAATTCAAGATTGTTCAATCTAAGCTAAGAACAGATCAACAGCACAGAAATATTTTGGATTGATCCACATATTGAAAATCCATGCTTGATCACACTTCACACTGATGATGTAGTCTTGTGTTTATCAATATCATTACCTTCAATACTGAATTATTATGTTAACAGCTGTAAGCCATATAGATCTATATATACACTTGTTGTAAAGGTATGTTGTCTAATTTATTTCAATAATTATTTTTATTTATGTTTTGGGCCTATATATTCATGAGTCGTTCAATGGCATCAATCCCGGCTTAATCCCATCTGAGTTTATGTCAGGCCATGATTAGAAATATCAGTGTTTTGGTCATCATTTTTTCTTCTTTGTTTTTCATCCAGATTATTATAAGAAAACATGCTTTCATAGCCAAAGCCATAAACAGTGTTTGAAATTAAGAATGCGAGTCAGTGGAGCCTTGTCAAAACATTTACTTGATTCAAATACAATGGCGGAGAACCTCAAGGACCCAAGATCCCCACTGGGTATATATTGTTTTGAAAATATTTTGAGACATTTTAAACTTTCATGAGCTTCCTAACACTGAGACAGTTCAACAACGTAAGATCTGAACCGAGTGTCCTCAGTTGAAAATTTAAGCTTTAGTTTGAATTACTTTCATCATGGTGAGATGCCAAAGTGTCAGAAGTTTGTTTTTTGTCATATTCATTTGATGAAATGAAAGCAGTTCTCTCACTAATCATGTTAATATATAAAATTGTGCAACTTGGTAATTTTTGTTTTAGACTCTTCTGCACATATTGCAGACACTGACCATGCCTATGCAGTGCTCAACATGCTCAATCTGTGGATTTATTTTATTTTTTTATCTTAGTGTTCTAACTCTTCTTGGAGGCTTTTAGTCAGCCACAATTCCAAGATTGGATTAATTAAAAATATCCCCAAACAGATTATTTTTTACTTATCCTGCATTACTCCTTAATGCATTCACTGCTTACTTTATGACAACAAAAAGACAGCGCCAGCGATGGTCATGGGTGAAGAAATAAAGATGTTTCTGCTTTTCACTCCTGCTTTTTGCATGGACCACTGCCGCTGTCATGTGACCTTGATGACAAATCACCTTCCTCACATCACTGCCTGTCGCCGTACAGCAAGGACGTGTCTAGGCGGAGCTCTTCAAGTTGGATAAATTTAGACCTTCAGCTTCGGCTATAATTCTAAATTTTATCTACAATGGGTGATGTATACTTTAATAATACTTTCACGAATTTTGTGTTGTTTTATGTGGTTGAATTTGGCGTAAAAAGACTTTGACTTTTTCCCCGCCTTGTGGCTCGTTTCCCATTATTTTGAATTTGTGTGACAACTGTTTACCTGCAAGGGTAGTCAAATTGTTTACAATTCTTAGCTACGTATGTATAACATATTCATGTGTTTTTAAATACTAGTAGCTTTGTGTTACGTAGGGTTTGTGTGTATCAATCCTTGTATACACTTTCAACTTTTAAAATTATTTGCTGATAGAATATTGTGTAATTCTATAGCAATCTTCCAACTCTGTTTCTATCAACAATTCTTTATTTGCGTAACTTATGCTTGCGCGTGGCACTAATTGCCGTGGAAAAAATCTTCCAAAGATCCTCATTCACGTTGTATGGCTTGCACGCAGATTTGCTCTGCAGTCTTTAAATGTAATTTTTGTGCACTTCTCTCTCCTTACAAACATATTTTGCAGCAGTCCTGTCGAGTGGCGAGGCAGATGTCACAATTGATAGATGCCAGCTCTGGACATTCTTCTGTCTTTACTACGCAGCCCGTATCTTTGGTGGGTATTATGACTCCCCTCATCGTGACTGCATATGTTCATCCTCCGCCGATGTCAACATTTGACGGAGGCTACTGTGAGTATCGTACCTACTCCTAATTTTCAGGCGCCTGGGACACCCAGTACTATGATCCCTGCGACACGAATGCCTGCGTCTCAAGACGGCGTGATAGGGTAGTGCAGGCGCAAGCCATGATCCAGTCATCACCGATGAGCATAGCGTCTCGAGGGCTTGCGCAGTGCCTGCCTACCACCCTGGCGCATCTACCATGACATCAGCCTTAGGGCTTACAGCCTGTCCCATCACGCAAGCGACACATGATCAGCTTAGCGCAGCAGCGCAGCAGATGTACGCACAGGCATCAGCACCGTTCCAGAACACCAATTGGATGCAAAACTTTTTGCAATCCATGTGGAAGTAGTCTATGGCACACCTGTCTCCTGTGCCTATGCCTATGTACAGACGCCAGCATCAGCTACAATTATGGCGCAAATGTTAGCTTCTACACTGGCGCTTAACATATACCAAGCGCCTAACGCGCGTTCTGGTACAGCTCATACTTTTTCAGGTAGCGCTGGTACACCAGCACGTATGTGGACATTGTCACATAAATCCTTATCACTAAATGGGTCTTCAAAGCCTTCTGGGAGAGTGTGTCAACATTGTTCCGATTCTTCGGACTTGTCAAATCCCAAGTTTAAAAAAGTGCAGGTCCCTACGTCAACCTTGATCAGCTTGCATCCCCGTTCAACGAACAGGTCGCGGATGCGCACATTTAAGTATCTAATTACGAAAGCATGGAGCATGTTTCTCAGGTTTTCTCCAAGTGGGGAACAAGATCTAAGTGAAACCAAAGACAATTTTCTAGACCCCTTACAACTGTGGTAAAAATGTCCTGCATACAACATAGGTTCTTTTTTTCCTCAACGCTCGACAGCGACTGGTCTCATGCTGAGGGATCTATAAATTTTCCCGCCAATTCTCCCATTTAATGAGGTACGTTCAACGTTAAACCATTTCAAGGAGAGGTGTTAGCACTCTCGATGAATTTGTTTCATTGGGCGTCTTGAAGACAATTGTACCAAACTTGAAGAACTTCACACCTTCAAGATTGAACATTGGACAGAATATTTATATGCTGCCGGGTATCCATCTGTGGGAATCATTTTACAGGCAGCACCAGGTGTCACAAATTTCAGAGAGATCAATTTTGCACCTACACTGGCCAAGTCACATGTCCTGCACAGAACTCGGAAACACCACTTGGCGGTTTACCACACAGTTCACTGTGGACAGTCTGTTGTGTGGAGCTCGTACCTCGCCTCCGGCATTTTACGGCTTCGAGTTCATACGCAGTGTGATTTAAATATCAGGGGTCAAGATCCTTGACTATGAACACCGGAATCAGGTCAGCTAACCTAATGGAGGCGGTGCAAGGTCATTGTACCAGGATGGTTGGCATGCTTACTGGTACATAATGCTCCAACCTTCGGTCAGACACATATCCTGTATGTGAATGTGACCGAGTCACTATCTTCAGTAGAAGGCTGGTGTCCACATGCGCAATATAGAGGCACACCAAGAGTACAAGGCCCCTCCCTTCATTGTCACCTTGATATAAGAACAGGAGCATTTGTACGGACTCGTATCTTGGTTATCGGTTGATGAGTGCTTTTATTTAGTCTACATGGGAGCTGGCAGTGGTTCGTTTTCGAACATTTTTTTCAAGTCGGTCCTTGCAAGGTACGATTCAAGTAGAAGTTCTCAAAGTTGATTTTTTCACCCTTTACAAAACTTGCACACATTTGTCTCAAAGACCTGTATGCTGCTTGCAATCTACCATCTCAAGTGAGGACATCAACTGGTGGTTGATAGTCGAACGTCTCCTTATTCAGGCTAGCCTCAAATTTACACTTGTTTGTAATTGGTTCCCAGCAGGGTTGCTCGCTTACATGGCCAGGTTGTGGCCATGGGCACAACAGATTTGGCACGTCTAGAGTTTTGGAAGGGCTCATTCTGACCATCTCAAAGGAGAAACATTGACAGGAGCAGCTACAGTCTACCCAACTCACAACCGACAGTACAGTGGTGTGGTGCCCGTGCAATCAAGAGACAACGCACTCACTCCCTTCTGTAACAGACGTTGAGATTCTTTCATCTACTGGATGCGGCTGGAGCTACAATTCATAGTTCAGCACATCCCCAGATGTCGGAACATATTGGCCGATGTTTTGTCCTGAGCAGACAGGGTGGCTCCCACTGAGTGGGAATTTCACACAGAGAGGCATTTCATTGGTGCTTCAGAGGTTCGGGCAACCAAACATTGACCTGTTTGCAACTTGCCAAAACCACCAAATTATGGCGTATGTCTCCCCATTACCTGATCCGCAAGGCTTGGGCGATGGATGCATTCAGCATCCCTTGGAAAGTGTATGCTTTTCTGCCACTTGTTCTACTTCTCATGGTGATACAAAAGATCAAGAAGACAGGAATCTTGCTGTGACTTTGGTCGCCTCCTGGTGGACGGCGTGAGGGTGGATCGTCAAACTCGGAAGTCTAGCAGAAGACGATCCAATACCCCTCCCACAGAGGCCCAACCTACTCATCCATCCTCACAGCAAATTGCCTCAGCCAATGCCAGACAGGTTTTGTCTTCACGTTTGGTTCGTCTTAAAAAGGCGTTAAGTGCAAAGTGCTATTTGGCACGGGCAGCTAAATCTATAGCTTTCGCTCATCGGCCCTCTACCAGAGGGTTATACAATGACAAGTGGGGATTGTTTGAAACTTTTTGCAAGGGAAAAAACCGAAGACCCCACTACAGCGTCACCACAATTCTTAGCCGAATGCCTCCTACATTTGCATACCAAGAAACACTTACAAGCACCATTACTACGTATTTGGTAGCACTTAATACTTCGGTGGCCGCTTTGGTCGTGTTGGCAAAATGACCAAGGTCCTGGAACTACAGGCCCTACTACGCTCATTTAGGCTTGAGGATCAGGAGGCCAAGCTCTGTCCCCCTGCTTGGGACTTGGAACGTGGTACTTTGAGGTTTGCGAGGCCCCCCCCCTTCGAGTCCCTCAATGCATCCTCTTTTTATGACCTCACCAAGAAAACAATATATCTCTTGGCTTTAGCCACGGCGGCACGGGTGAGCGAGCTCGTACAATCGACATCACCCTGGTCCAATTTGAACGTTTGTGCTGGGATTTTATAAAGAAAACTACCAGGCCAACCCGATCGTTCCTTCACTATCCCACCAATATCAACAATTGTGGAGATAAAGATGAGGGTGAACTTATCTTGTTCCCAGTGTGAGCACTTTAAGTTTTCATCCGCCTTTCCAAAACTAGGCGTGGTTCGAGGATACGGTTATTCGTACCCTTATCTCCAAACCGTCCGATACAGATGCATTAAGGAGTAATGCAGGATAAGTAAAAAGTTAAGTAAAATCTAAATATTTTTTACATTTGTATACTTATCCTGCATTACTATTTTTAAGGACCCACTCGGTGCAGACTTGCCTCCCCAATTTGGCTTCAGAAACCTCAAAACGTTTGTAATTAAGCTTGGACAACAGGCAGTGATGTGAGGAAGGTGATTTGTCATCAAGGTCACATGACAGCGGCAGTTTTCCATGCAAAAAGCAGGAGTGAAAAGCAGAAACATCTATATTTCTTCGCTCAAGACCATCCCTGAGCGCTGTCTTTTTGTTGTCGTAAAGTAAGCAGTGAATGCATTAAGGAGTAATGCAGGATAAGTATACAAATGTAAAAATTATTTAGATTTAACTTAATTTCCATTTTTTATACCCCCCACCGTCCGAAATCTTTGTCTGCGCAATTTCTCTTAAACTATTCAGTGGATTCATCTCAAACTTAGTACATATAATCTGTGTCATATGGAGGGGTGCAGTCAAAAGAAAAGATTTTTTTTTGTTTTGATTAATTTTCCATTTTTTTAATGAATTTTTCAAACCCAAACCCTATCCTAGCTATTAAATTTGAAACTACTGACACACTAGGCGGGTCGGGGGTATTCGTGAGCAACGCTCACTTTTGCCCTTGTTTAATTTTTGTCTTAGCTGCCTGCTACCATGGATTAATACTCTTAGTTTGAAACCCCAGCTAATCCATGACCTGGCACTATTATGTACCTGGTCGGGTGAACTAGGCCTCTTGTTTGTCACAGGTTATACCGTATATCCCTGTGTATAAGGCGAGTTTTTCGTACCTAAAATGAGGGGGTTAAGAAGGGGGGTCGTCTTAAACACGGAGTCGAAGATCTCACATTTTTTTCCACTGGCGATGTCAACCGACGTCCCATAGCCAGCCCAGCATTTGACAATAAAACTTCGCTTTTCGTTCTAAATAACTTTTCCAATAACTATTTCCTTACATAAACATGACTTGTATCTCTTTTCCTTGAATAAGGTTTAATAACTTCTGCAAATAAAGTTGAAATGACCCTCGCCTCGATGTAGATTGTCAAACCAGCTGACACGGTAAAACAATCAACATCCATGAGTAGAGAGCCGGAAGTACCGGTAAGCATTTGCATATTGCACATGTGACCTAACGTGATAACCGGTGAAGCTGAAATCAATTCCCGCTGTTTTTACAGTTGTATTAACAACTGTTGGAGACGGTGTGTATAAGTGATTGTGGAACAAACATGCTGAATGCGAAGCAAACATAAAAACATAAGCATAGTTAGTTACAACATAGTTAATTGGCGATTAAATTACTCACCATTGTCTCTTATATCTTATTACTTCATAAATGAATTTTATTTTATGGGCACAAATTTGGGGTCGTACCGTGTAAACACAAAATGGCAACATGTGCTGGAGTTACATACACGACCAATCATCGTAGAAAAAACAACGCAAGATAAACATATTTTTATTGCATATATAAGGTTTGTGTGCGCACTTGTGATGTGCTTCATTCCAGGTCGCCTTATACATGGAGTATAGGATTTTGGGTTGATTTTGAAGGTGTGTACAGGGGGTTGTCTTATACGTTGGGTCGCCTTATACACAGCAATATACGGTACATGATGTATGAATTGGAAACTATGCCATTGCCAATCATGGAACCATCCTGATTAAAAGAAAAATAAAGGTTGAATGTTGACAGACTTATATATTTGAGTTGTATCTATATCATGTAATTTTTAAATGTTTTCATCATATATAATTTCCAATACATGGCTTGTATTTTACAGATTCTTTGAACAATGGCTGAGGCAGGTACTCAAACAGATCTGGCATCTGAAGAAGATAGTGTGGAAAATGGTCAGGGTATGTAATTGATGTACCTTATCAGTGATATGCCATGTATACAGTGTCTCAACTTTCAGAATTTGGTATCACTTCAGGCTTTCCTCATACATCAAGTTGACACCCTGAAATACTGTCCAAAGTGGCATCAATCCAAACTGACTCACTCTTTTAGAATTTGGTGTTGGTGATATCGAATGACTAAAGCTGTTGAGAATCTATTTCTTCTTACGCACTCAGGGATTTATCTAGGCCCGCTGAGAGGCCTATATTTGGCCATAAGTCTGCAGCAAATGACAGTAGAAATTCCCAATTTATTAGAACTTATAAAAATAAGAACATTAAAACAAATAAAATTTTCAGTTATATCATGATTGTTTTCCCAATTTGTATGGCACTTGGTGTCGAATCCTAGATAAATCCCTGGCACTCGTAATCATTTTAATCAGTATCAATAGTAAACATGTTAGAGGTTGATTGCAAATGTTTTGTTAGATGTTTCAACATTGAGATTAGTAGTTAAGGTGACAAGGTGGGATGTAATTGATTGCATGTCAACATACTCTGACAGATGTAATCAGTGGTTCAGATATGATCATAATTATGGACAGTTTTATCTTCTTTTCCTTTTGTTTTTTTTCAGCATCATCCACAGCTTCTGAGTCAGAGTCTGGTACTGGGGAAAGCCAAAGTCAAGATTCCGATAACCCGGCCTTTCCTCTTGCCGCGGGACAAGACACACCATTCAACTACCTTCAAGACCTCAAGAGACGGAAGATGAAGATGAAGAAACAAATGACCCCAGCAATGAAAACCAGCAAACTACTTGGGCTGATTCGGTTGCAGTCCAAGCACACTGGGCAATCCCCCTCACCTAATCCCACCATCTCTGAATCATCAAATACAGAGCCACCTTTCTTTGGTGATGAACATTCAGGTTAGTTATTGCCAGTTTTACTGAAGTTTGGACTTTGATTTTGTTACAGCTCATTCGAGTAGGATCCTTCACAGACTTGGGCTATGAATGTGGGCATTTGTGTCTCCTAATTGGCCCTTTCACAATCCCATTAAAATAAGATCTTAGTTTCTACCGCAAAACAAAGACCTGAGGACATCCCATTACAGGTCATGCCAGAACGACCTTTCGCAAACCTTGACCAATCAATGAAATGACTAACAAGAAGTTGACATCAGCCAGCCAGACTGCAATTTTCTCAAGCTTTTCGGCACGAGTTTCAAACTGGCAACATCCCTTCCAGACTACTCTTTGAAAAATATTTTAAGTTATCATTTAAAAATTTGAAAAGGGAACAAAAGAACATACTGGAAAGCCTAATAGATGGCCTAGATTGTATGATTCTTCTGTTGAAATGTTTATCCAATACAGAAGCGAGACACAGACAATAATTTTGACAAATTACTTCCTAAAGCCAACTTCTTTCAGAATACTCACTTTTGAGTTTGCATGATAAGAAAATACATTCTGACTGTCACTTTCCTGATCTGGTAAGCGACGTTCTTATTGATTGCATGAAAGGTTGTTCTGATGTGACTCAAAACGGGATGTCCTCAGGTCTTCGTTTTGCGGTAGCAAGAAGTAAGATCTGAAATGAGATTGGGCTGAGTTTGCTGCAAAATTATATAATAATGTAAGACATGTGAAACATAACTGATGTAGCAAGTCATAGCATGCTGAGGTCTCGCTGATAGTACTAAGGTATCTGTCATTTACATCACTATCATCATGAACCTGGAGTTGTGGACATGACTGAATTCATTCCTGTCTCCAAACAAACACAAACTAAGTGATCACAGTTTGTATGTATTTCTTTTGTAAAGCTACTGATATATACTTACAAAATATTTGACAATTGCTTGTCTATGTTATTTATGGATAAAGGAAAGAACCTCATTATTATCCCCCGCCCAACAAAGTTCAGTATTTTTTCATGAAACTTTGCACGTCTGTCAAGTACATGCTGAACTGGTGCCTTTTGATATTAAGAAATTTTAGAAATTTTTATTTTTTACGTTTCCATGGCAACAAGAAGGACTTAGGTTCTGTGAGGGTAGGGTTCGTTTCCGGAGCATAACTCATAAACCAATCAATATTTTTCATGAAACTTTGCAGGTTTGTCAGTACATGCTGAACTGGTGCCTTTTGCTATTTAGAAGTTTTAAATTCTTTTATTTTTTACGTTTCCAAGGCAACAAGATGGACTTAGGTTCCAAACTCTTCCTTTTTTTGCAATTTCCATGACAAGTTCGGCCTCGGTTAAAAAAGGTTAGGGTTTGTTTAGATTTAATTATGCCATAAATTCTGCAACAGGGGCGGGGGATATAGCCACGTTAGTGGCAAACTCTTGTTAGTATATGTGACATCTCTGATATGGATTTGTTGAGACATGTTAACGAATGATGAATACATATTCATCTTGTTTATCATTGTATATTTCCAGGTATGAATGTGTTTGGAGAAGGGGAAACCCCTTCTGAGCAGGGACACTTGAATACTGGGAAGCTGGAATTTGCAGCTATGCCAGGTATGAAGTACCGAAAAATATGTCTTTTGTCATGCGGGTGTTAATCTGTTATTTATATGTTCTTTACCCATAATATTTTAAACTTATCCTATCTCACACTATGCATTTCTTCTTTCTTCTTCAATCCTATGTGGAAACATGCTTGAACAGAGTTTCCAACCTCAGAAAAATGATTCACCCAAACACATCCCAGCATCACCATGGTCACATCGCCACAGTGGAGACATGTACTGTCATTGTTAGAGAATATGTATATATGTTTAACTGATTTCCCTACATCATGGTGATTTACATGGTGATTACATCTGTGAATATGAGCAAGAAATATCCTCTTTGCCCGGCCTGTCTGTGAAGTGCCGGCATACTTTTTCGACATTGAACCCTCACAATTATGCTGTGATTGCCGTGGCCATAGTACTTGTGACAAGAGGTGCTTATTAATAAATCATCTTTCGGAGGAATCATTCAGTGTATATCTTCACAAGTTACATTAACTCGAGGTGGATCACTGTGAAAGTCGAAGGACTCCAACAAGAAATCAAAGGACACCGTCAAGCACATATCGTCTACCAAGTAGTCAAAGAAGTCAAGACTGTCCCATCCATACAGTGGCAGCGCCTCCGGAACCTTCCGTCTGCCCTCTTGGTGGCCGATGATGTTTCAGACAGCTTCCTTTCAGAAGATGTTGCTATCTTACCGCCTCAACAGTCTGTTGCTGAAGAACCCCGGGGCCTTGTCTTCATCAGCCCGCTGATTTCTACTGACGTTTGCAAGGGTCTCTCACTGCATCGTCTACATTGACCATCGTCTACATCTTTGGTCCACACCTTTGGTTGAAGGTCTTCTACCAGCAGCCTTGCGTCTCACGCTCCCTCACAAGTCGTTCCAGAGGCTGATGATAGCTCCTCTTCGCCTACAGATGACAGCGCTCCTCTGTTGATGGTGACTAACAAAGATCCGCTGCTACTGGTCATCAGGGTTCACCTTCTACTTTGGTTCGGAGGAGTAATGAGCTAGATAAATCGACTTCCACTCCGAATCCCACACTGTCTGCTCCTTCTGGTACAGCTGTCCCGTTTCCAGAGATTGTGGATCATGCACCTGCTGACAAAGATAAGGATCATCAACAACCCCTGCATCGTGTTTTGAACCCGCTGACGCTGCTCTAGTACTGTATAGGTACTTTTGATTCAGGATAAGATCAAGGCTGTCTTCGACCTCATCCCATGTCACACAGGTTCGGTCACGGCCTTACAATGCAGGGACGTTCTTCAACATTGCCATGAAGATGATCCTTTCTAAGCCGGTTTGTACCAGCTCCCCTTGTCATCTCAGAATCCCTTTGCGGACCTCATTTAGGACGTTGCACAGAAAAATGTTCAGCGGGGTACAGTCTTCAGGTGTCGGTCTGTCTCCTGTGTCTCCTGTGTCTACAGTGACAGCACTTAGAAAACCAACAGAAGGTAGAGCGTCTGCGCCCCCACTTTGTTCCTGCCCGCACTTTGTTCCTGCCCTACAGGACCTCCGTAAAGTTCTCAGTGGATGTTAGGGGTGACTATTGGTCTGGAAATAACTATTGCGATTACTATTGATATTGCAGGCAACTATTGCGATAAATATAGATAGTTTTCAGTGTATCATTTTAAATGGATTTTAAAGTTGAATTAAACCTTGGAACTGAAGTTTCCTTTGAACCATAACAAAAGAAAAGAGTAAAGTTTGAGATATGACAGATTTGTTTTGTCTTTACCCTAATAAGTTAAGAAAAAGAAACTTCGACATTACCATGTGTAAATTACTACCACTCATGATCAAAAGAAAAACAAATTTGAACAGCATTTGCATGTATTTTATTGATATGGTAAATACAGTTGAAACTATCGTTATTTCTAACTGAAATCGATACAATTTTTAAGTGCTCACCAATAGCAATATTTCGATTTATCGTGACACCCCTAGTGGATATTCAAGCTCCTGTGGCTGTGGACTAGGCCGTGAGAGACAGTGAGTCCTCCTCCAGACGTACTGTGTCGTTCTCTTGCCCCAAGAACATCAGCAAGTCTGCCAGAGCAGGCAACTCATCTAACAAGTGACTTGCCTCAGCTTCGGGAAGACTGGGAACTTCAAGTTGTACCCTTTATCGACACACCAGTGAAGGAAGACTCTTTGCTGGTAATTGGGCCATCTTGGACGATCCCTTCTTGCTCACTGCTCATGCTACAGACTGGTTACCGATGGCCCCTGACTGCTCCACAGATGACGTTTGCAATATATCACTGCCAGTGTCCAGCCAGCCAGCTTCCGTTCTTCGAGGAAACCACAGGCATGTTGCTTACAAGATGTGCTATAGAATGTCTCGGTCCGGTTCCCTCAATTTCAGGGTTCCTCTTGTCAATATTTCTCATCTCGTAGAAAGACAGTCTCAAGCTTCGGCTCATTTTCAACATGAAGGCATTTAACACGTTACACCTGGAGGACCTGCCACATGACATCAATTGTTCTTCTTCAGACAATCATTCGTCCTGGAGATTTTATGGTCAGTCTCAACTTACAGGACGCGTACCTTCATGTTTCCATACATTGGGAGCACCGCTGAGGTGCTGCTGTTTGGAATTTCTTCATCCCCTTGTCCCCACCCAGTTTATGGGAGCCCTTTTCAACACCCGCCTGGGCAAGATGATTGTTCCTCTGGATCAATGATCAAAGATCCAAAGATCACTTGCCTTGGGCACACAAACGCTCCTTCTACGTCAATGGCAACAGATCCTCAGCCTTCTCACTTCAGCGCAAGCTCTCACTTTCAACTTCACCTTCAGGCAATCCAGTGCTTCCTCAAGCCCTTCATGAAGATCTCCCTACCATTTCCTCTGCGTCTGCACCTTCAGTGGTGGCTGGTAACATCAAATGTTTGCGATGAAGTCTCTTTGCCTCCATTCATCCTGAACCTACACCTCTTTGTTGACGCATCGAGCTTGGGCCTGGGAGCGCACTTCCACGATCTACAGGTAGCAGGGCGTTTGTCCATCTAGAAGCGACTTCACATCAACAAACTCAAGTTCAAGGCAGTCATCCTGGCAGTGTCTTATTGGTCAGAGCTCCTTCGTGACTCATACCTCATAATCCAGTCGGACAATCTCTCTGTCGTCTTGTACATGAACAAGCAGGGTTCCACCTACCCTAACTAACGTATCGGGATCGTATCACCAGTTTTTTGTGTTTTCCCGCTCACGAGTTATTGTCTTTACGACACAATGCAGTGTTTTGGAAAATGTGACCATGGTGATGCTGGGATGCTGGTCTGAAATGTTTTTTAGACGCTGGAAACTCTGTTCAAGCACCTTTCCACATAGGATTGAAGAAAGAAGAAATGCATAGTGTGAGATAGGAAAAGTTTACAATTTATTATATAATGTTTTAAGTTGTATTTTTTTTAATTACTTGGAGTCAGTATAATGTGTCTGAGTGGTGTATCCATGTGAAACTGAGGCATGGTATTTCAGTGGGCTAGCCCTAAAATACCATCATAGGTCAGGACTAGCACAAGCAGCCACACATACACATTCATGAAAGTTGCTATGGAAGTGAAATAATCTTGGAACACAATTTTAACCCTATTTTACCTCGCCCATAACATTGGTGAAGCAAAAATAAGTTTATGGTTGAAGGTTTTGCGTTACTTCTGTCAATATTTCAGCTCATGATATTGTATTTCTATGCCTTTTTCTGAATAAATTATATATGAATGAGATCAATACTGGCATTTGATTTATATGGAAGTAATTGTCATGGCACATTACATCAAATACGCAATATTTGTGTGTTGGTGAAAACATTGCAGGTGTCTGACATGTATTCTTTAACCATGTGGATATTGCACATGGACTCGTACTAATACTATCAAACACATATTTTTCTGGTCCACACTTGATAATATACTTGCTGAAGTCATGTTGCTCTTTGTGTAGCAGAAAAAGCCATTTTCACTCCCTTATTGATTGCACCTGCTAATTTAAACCTTACTGGAGTATAGATCAAAACAATGTTATTAAACTGTGCAAGGCTGATTTTTACAATCATGTTAATTGAACTACTTCATTATCAATATGAATAGAGATATTGTATGTAGATGGTGTTTTATGTAATGTAAACATGTCTAGTTTAAATAGGAAATTTTTCTAGTGTTTATACAAATAGGTAGGTTCAAGAAAATTTTACCTCATATATTCTGTTTTCTCTCCAGGATACAATCCGGAAGAAACTCCTGTTGCACCCAACAGTGAAACTCCATATCAGTGTCGACTGTGTCCAGTAGCTTTTGCAACACCTTTGTCCCTGAGAGGTCACATGTCCAGCCACAGACTTCCAAAAAAGTTTGTATGTCCTATCTGTGCTAAGTCCTTTGCTCATTCTAGCACACTCAACTACCACGTTCGCAAGCACAAAGGAGACCTGAGATACAAGTGTGACCAATGTGACAAAAGATTCCTCAAACCCTTCAGGCTGAAAGCTCACATCTTGTCCATGCATTCTTCAGAGAAGCCTTTTGCATGTAGGTACTGTGAAAAGTCATTCAGCTCCAATATGAATTTGAACAGACACACTAGGGTGCACACAGGGGAAAAGCCATTTCTCTGTCTCCTCTGTGGCAAAAGATTCAGAGATAACTCGTCTTTTTCAATGCACCGAAAATACCACACTGAAAACAAACTTTTTGAATGTGATCTATGTGGTAAAACATTTGTCAAAATGGGTCTGCTTCGAACACACAAAAAATGTGTACATGTAGTTGACAAAATACATGAATGTTTTTTGTGCAACAAAGCATTCAAAGCTAGGGATTACCTCCGAAAACATCTGATGGTCCATCAGACAAACAAGCGGTTTAAATGTGACTTTTGTGAGTCATCCTTCTCAAGAGCTGGAGCGCTGAAGAAACACAGATATCTGCACACTGGGGAAGAACCTTTCAAGTGTGATGTATGCTTGAAGGGATTCCGGGATATCTACACCCTCACCAAACACAAACGCCTACATGAGAGGAAAGTTGAAAGTAATCCTCCACTGTCAGTGGATGAAGTAAATGAGAAGAAGGCACAGTTGTATGAATGTGATCAATGTAACCGGAAATATTCACTTTCAGGTTCATTAAAAATCCACAAACAGAAATATTGTAAAGGGGAAATTGAAGTGAAAACTGAAGAGTTGAATCTGTTTTGTACTGGATGTGGAATGCTCTTTCACCACAAGCAGTCACTTGCAAAACATATGAGGAAGACATGTGAAGCTATAGTTAGGAAGAAGGACAAGGTGTTTCTCTGCAGTACTTGTGGCCTGGTATTCTTCTCCAAGGTGATGCTGAATGATCACCTGAGAACCACAACATGCTCTGGTAACACAAGCCCGGAAAACTACAAGTGTGGGGTGTGTGGTGCTGAATTTTCTCACAGGGCAACACTATCCAAACACAAGAAATTGCATGGAGATATGTTGCCGGATGTTGCTGATGGTGATCCTACTGAGGGTGACAATGTTGATGAAGATTCTTCAAAGATGTCTTTTCCAGTTGATGAGAATGGCAAGAGGCTGTATGAGTGCAAATATTGTAAAGAGACCTTTAGAAGCAAAAGTGCACTCTATGATACACACATGAGAAAGTGTCATGATCGTCCAGCCTTGGAAAAGAAGAATGAATGCGAGTTTTGTAGTCGGAAGTTCCACAGTAAGTCTGATCTTAGGGCTCATATACGTATTCATACAGGGGAAAAGCCATTCACTTGTGGAATTTGTGGAAAGTCCTTCACTCAGAGAGGACATGTATCCATGCACATCAAGATACACACTGGACAGAGGGACTTTCCATGCACAATATGCGGGAAGGCTTTTCAGTTTGCGACAACCCTCCGTAACCATGTCAAGTTGCACACTGGTGAAAGGCCTCATGTCTGCCATCTCTGCGGAAAAGGCTTTATCAAAAGTAACAACTTGAAGAATCATATCAAAATGCATGAGAAAAAGGAGAAAGAGATGGAGGAAAATGCAAATAAGCATCCTGAAGAATTTATTCCTGCAGATCCAAACGATTGCACCATTTCGTTTTCTCCACTGAAGAAAACTCCATCAGGGAAACTATTAGCTCAGGCAAGAGGAAACCCATCTTCTTCTAGGACCCGTACATCAAATCGAACATCAAAGGGTTCTGGCATGAAAAAGCTTATTGAGGAAGAGATGACCCCTGTTGAAGAGATGGGGGAAGAGTTGCCTTTGATCAAAAAGGAACCTGTTGAAAGTGATGATCAAATGACAGATGAGTTTGGAGAGACCAGAGAGAATGACCAGGAACAGGACAACGAAGGATCAAATTCTGAAGAGCTTGTTGCTGTGGATCTGAAATGTCCCTTTTGTGGCAGAATATGTTCAACACCATATGCTCTAGCAACTCACATTAAATGTCACACTGGGGCAAGGCCATTCATGTGTCAAGATTGTGGCAAGTCTTTTCTGCAGGCATCTCATCTTAGAAGTCATATGCAGATCCATGGCAAGAGAGAGCAAAACTTCCGGTGCATTGTCTGCCTGGAAGAATTTGCCACATCCAAACTTTTACACTCTCACATGAAGTTGCATAAAGGTGAGAGACCCTATGGCTGTTATTTCTGTGACAAAGCTTATGGCACATCTCAGCACTTAAGAAGACATGTCAGAAGTTCTCACCCAAAAGAAATGGATATTGACATGAATGTCTTATTGATGCCTACCTCTACATTAAATGATGGTCGTGCAGTGGAAGCAGAAAGAGATAACACTGGGAGGCGCGTTTACAGGTGTTACTTCTGTGAAAAGTTCTATTTTCTTGATAGACATTTGAGAAGACATGTTCAAACGAGTCATCCTGAAAGAGATCCCAAAAATTTATATTTTCTCAGACCACCCACATCAGATGCAGGCGAATCGGAGTCTGATAGTGTCAGCATTAAAACTGAAAGTATGTGGGACCCCGACACCTCCAATGATTATAGTGCATCTGAAATGACACCTAGCAAGGACACAGAAGACAAAGATGGACAGATGACAGCTGGCCACACATCCAGTACTGAAGATCCTGATACTGAAACACCAGAGAACTTGCAAGAGAGGATCTATGTTCCCCCCCAGATACAGCAGACCATGACCAGCCCTGTTGACTCAGATGGTTCGGAGAAAGATGTGTCGCGTGCTAGTTCCCCTGATAAGAATATGCTCACTGAAAATAATGGGAAAGATGAAGATTTTATTGTAGAAGTAAAGCAGGAACCAGTTGATGACGATTATGAGAACTGAATCTTCTTAACGTGATGATGTTGCAAAAGAAGGTGTATGACTGAAAAGATATCCAACAAACAATGGATGATGTTGACCCTGAGGAAGTTCAGTTTGAAGTAGTAATTATCTCCCCTTGACCATATGATTTCAAGTGTCAGGTTGCAATCATAATGAAATGAAAAATATTCTGTCATCAAAATTTTGTTGTTTAATATTCACATGCTTCATTTTGAAAGTCTGTTTTGAGGGACGTATACTTTGTACATGATTATAGACATGATTATTTTAAAGGTTTTTGGTTACCTTATTGCTTATCTACTTCTTTTCAAAACTGTTTCATTGTAAGTTTCAAAATCATATTTTTTTAACTAAAAAAATTCCACAAGTTAAAGTTGGACTAGTAATGTAAACTGTTGTCTTGGTTTAGTCTGGTACATGTTGATATGCCCTCAAGAATTCAGTATTCAGTCAGCCAACATTGGTCACAGTAGAATAATTCATGTTGTAGGTTGTAAAAGATTGTACTAAATCAGTTGGATTAGAGCCTAGAATTCTGTGTAGTGTAATCATGGTAGATGATTGTGAATCTTTGATTGGAAACATTTATCTCCAATAATCTTGGTAATCATGTTCACAAAGTGGTATATTTATGTTTTGTAAATAATTGACATTTTACTGTAATGCTGAGCTCTGATGTCAGATCATGTCATAATATCTGCATAATATATAACCTTCACCACTGGTTATGTTTACCAATAAACAATTGCCATGGTCAGTTAATGTTTACTTTCTTGGGATTGATAAATGACCTGTATAGTCTGCACAGTAGCAAGGTACCACATTAGTTGAATTGTATATAATCATTACACTGTACTAGTATGCACTGTATTATCTCCTGTTGTAAAGTAATGTAAACTGTATTTGTACTTGCCTGTTTTGGCATGCTAGGTTAGTAGATACATAATACTGACCACATGTAAGATGCTGCTTGCCGATTTGCAGTAATGATTTCATTAACTTCATTTTGTCATTGTTTTCAACAAGTATTTGATGGGCTGTATGATGTGTTGCTTTTTTGCAGAATTATTGTCATGAACCAGCAAGTCTGGTAGAAATGTCCACTATGATGGTACACAAGCTGGTACACACATACTATTGTCATGAACCAGCAAGTCTGGTAGAAATGTCCCTATGATGGTACACAAGCTGGTACACACATACTATTGTCATGAACCAGCAAGTCTGGTAGAAATGTCCACTATGATGGTACACAAGCTGGTACACACATACCATTGTCATGAACCAGCAAGTCTGGTAGAAATGTCCACTATGATGGTACACAAGCTGGTACACACATACTATTGTCATGAACCAGCAAGTCTGCTAGAAATGTCCACTATGATGGTACACAAGCTGGTACACACATACTATTGTCATGAACCAGCAAGTCTGGTATGTAAGGACTACAGTAATGGCTGGAGATAGTCTCACCTCAGTGTGGGCAGCCAAGCCATGTTTGGGAGGCAGTACACTGTGTTGAGGATTTAGCCAAGTATTTAGTCCCTGTGGCAGGATAGTGATTCAACTTAACATGACATTTTGTTTTCCTCAAACAAAACAATGAAAGTAATTATTCCTCAATTGTATGGAAGTGCATGTTGTGCCACCAGCCTCTGGTTTGCCTGGCCCAAGTTGATCATTAACAGTTTTGATATTGCTTGAAGATTGTTGATAGCCATTCACTCACTTAAGCGATACATTATTGTTCATATTATTACAATGTGCATTGAAACTCATTTATTGCCGTTCATGCCAATTAATACACTTGCGGCAAGTGATGTGTGAAGTTCTTGGAAATGACTGTGTTCCTGGGGGAGGTATCCTGTAAACAGCTGGGAAAACCCAACAGCATGTGCCATGTGTACTGCCATGTTTGATAGGCTTGTGTGTTTCTGACATATCTGGTTCTCCATGTTGATGTGTAATCTGTTCGTGATATTTTGTTTAAATGATTTGTGCACTTTTGTCCAGCTACCATGTCCTGTGTGTCCACTGATCTAGCATATGTTGAACAGTTTGTCAATACTCTTTGATGATGTATGACCATGCCTAAAATTCTTGTGTGCAATATGAAATATGTTCTATTGGAACTTGAAATAGGTGTCAAAGTTGAGCAAATTTGTTAACTGTCTTCTGTTATCTGTTTGTTAGATCTGCGTATATATCATGTATAAAATGTCAGCATACATCAACTCGAAACTGTTACTATTTATCTTATATGTTCGTAACTTAATGTGTTTTTTGTGGTCTGCATTTTCTGTTGTGAAAAAGATCTATATTTTGCCAGGTAGTATATTAGTGAGACATTGGTTCAAAATGAATTAAAGAACTGTTTTATTTTGTTATTTTGTATAATGCTAGGATATGACTGTCATGTTTTTTTCAAGAAGAGTCATTTACCATACTTAGTAAGGGATGTATATTTCCAAAAAAACATTACAAAGTGACATTATTGCAAAATTGGAAAATAATTTTGTCGGATGTTAAAATCTCTTAGAATGTTGTAGCAATTATTTCATGTTGTTGGATACAGATTTCCTATCTTATAGTAAGCTAGAACACAACTGACAGTGTGCCATTAGTCTGAAGCCTGAGTCCAGTAAGATTTCTTTCAGTCTGGTAAACTCATTATAGTCCATGTATTAACACTATTTTGCCACAGACTGCACAGTGGAAATGTTGCAGGTCCTGCAACACCTGGAGGGGTATGTTGTTATTTCTTTAAAAGTGCTTCATTCTTTTCTTTGAATGAACTGATCTAGCTAGCACTGCAAGATTGCAATGGTGCAGTGCATCAGTGATGTAGTAGATAGGCAATGATAACAGGCACTAAGGAACAATTATATTATTGGTAGTACAAAATGAAAACCTACTCAATAGTTCCAACTTGCTTTGACTCCAAGGCTTTAGAAACTGAACAAACTTGACCCCAGTAATATATTTGTTGGTTATCCTGTTATGTGAGTATAACATCATTATATCCTTTATCTAACATGACTAAGGATGCCTGCTGGTTGGATTTTATTGGGACGATGGAGCAGCCTAATGGCTAAGGTGTGGGCTCGTCATGCGGAAGGCTCAGAATCGATACAATGTGCAAAGCCCATTTTGGTACCCCCCACCATCATGATGTTAGAAAATGATAAAATAAATCACTCACTGTATTTATGGTATACAACATTTTCAAAAATCTTTTAAGGTGGTTGTGCATCTTAAAAGTTCTTTGTCAGTGTTCAGTCTTCATGTGGAAATGTATGTGGAAACAACACACTATCTACACTTACAATACACATTAAGTCATCATCTATCAATGTTTATATTCAATTTTACTTTTGTCAACTGTCTACATGTGGTTTTATTTGTTTTAGAATTCTTTATGTAAATATTTGTTACAAGTATATACTAGTAATTCATCATTGTTCATTGATGAATATGTGATGCATCATAACATTACAGCATGTAATTTTATTGAAAGAGCCAAGGCAGTCCTGATTTGACAGTAACGACATTTTTCATTCTTTAAATGATATGAATTTATTGAAAGTTGTGATACAGTCAAACTCTGTTGAGTTGAAGTTGAAGGGACCTATGTAAATACTTCGAGTCAACCGAGGTTCCACACAACCGAATATGATAACTAAAGAAGGAGTACGCGGGACCCAAGCCTTTACTTAGAGACAACCTAAGTTTGACACAACAGTGTTTGACTGTATATGGCAAAAAGAGTTGGTCAGAGAGTCCAGTCAGCAGGCATCTGTAACAGCTTGGGCTTGTGAGTGTTCCACTGAACATGGTTTACACAATATGCTTCCCAATATTTTCTGGTTTAGTTCATCAGTTGTAGATTACTTGGAATTTCTTATGTGTATCTAAGATGTACATCCCATAATTTGTATGTGTTTTTGCATTATGTTGACAATTTTGCATGCTTCATATTACTAATGGTCTATGTGTTTGCTGCTTTCAGCAATGTAGAATTTCTCATGGTAAACTTGCATTACAATGTTACATATCGGCTTGCTAGTGACCTAATAGCTCAGATTATGATGACTTGTGTCAGTTTACTTTTGTAAAGTGTGTTTGATTGTGCAGTGTCACTTGTTACCTTCCCTATTATGTTCTATTCAGTTGCCTCTGATCTCTACCAATGTTACATAGTGTATTTAACAAAGACTGAAACTAATGACTAATACACCTGTATCAGTTTAATGTTACTGAGCAATAAGAGCAAACACATTGAATTGCTAATTATCCTGATGTTACTCTTTAGTCTACCATGGCTTGACAGTTTACATTGTATGATTTTGCGTAATTCAGAACTCTGTATCAAGTCGACACATCTGAACAAGATCCCAAAGCATAAACCCACAGTAATAATTCATGTGTATCAAATTGCCCATGTCTGTGTTCATACATTCAAGAATAAAATCCTATCTTTTTTGAAGTGTGTGTTCCTTGACTTGTGTGTTTATTTTCAGTGTTAGAGCACAACCTTAACACAGTTCCACATGGTCACGGCTCAGATTTATCATTGTGGTTTGGGGTGAAAGTGCTGCTTCTGTTTTAGCAAGCACATGCGGACACTTTTTGTTACAAAATGTTCTTTTGATCATAATGTAAGGAAGCTTGGATCAAAATTATATATTTCTGTAAATTGCATATCAAAATCTAGTCAAGAGTTTCTCATTGGTAATGATGGTAATTCTTATTCTTAGCATCAGCATGCAAGTACTTGGGAGTATTTGGCAATTGTGGGAATATAATACGATCAGCACATCTGGAAGTATGGTAATTATCTTGTTTCCAGGGCAGGATAACTCAAACACTGTTCAGTATAATTTTTTTATAATTACCATTTAAACTTAAAACTTTCAATAGTCTTGTGTTCTTCATTGAGGTTCAAGAAGTATTTAATTTTTTGTTTTTGCACTCCTATCAATGTATTTATGTGATTGTGTTGATCAGGTTTGACAGTCTGACTTTAGTCTTATCTATGAAAATGAAAGGGATGCAAATTCAAAGTTAAATCTGTTTCTTGACCTGATTGTAATAAACTTTCAGTATTTTCATGAATCTATGGAGCCAGAGGATTATATAATCCCATGACTTGGTAAACCATGGAACTGTGTTTGCTTGTGGGTGAGTGAATGTTTATGGGGCATGTAACTGGGTTTGGGCGAGGGAAACCGTGGCAGAAGGCACTACCATCAGTCAAGTTATCTAGGATTACACACTATCAGCTATGACAGTGTAGGCAGTTTCTTTTGGCATGGTTGTTGCCATATATATACATCCTCAGCAGCCTCTGGCAAACAAAATACAGGGACCTAATAATTCTAAAACATGATTCTTTAGAGGCCACTTGATAATTATGGGTATATATGTATTATGATAGCAGATATACTGTAATGCATCTGATTGATACATGCCAGGCTGTAAGGCGTAACCCTTTCTGAGCCAATAAATAGGCCCTATTACTTCTAAGCCTGTAAGATCCTATTAAATGAGAGGACCGCCTCCGTGGTCTTGTGGTAAAACGGTAGGTCCGGGGTTCGTTCTCCGGGAGCATCATACCAAAAGACGGTAAAAGATGGTACTTGTTACCCTGACTGGCACTTGGCATTAAGGGGCTTAAACAAGGACAGGTCAGCTCGGAGTCAGTATATTGTCTTTGAGTGGGGGAATTTATGTTAAATGGCGGCATGGTATCTCAGTGGGCTAGCATGCACGCACGCACGCACGCACGCACATCCATGCACGTTGCTATATAAGTGCAATAATCTTGGATGCAACGTTAAACCCGATTTCATTCCTCCTATTAAATGAGAATTGGATGGTAGGACTCTTGGGTGATTACATGTCATCATTCCCCCAGGAGTCATGACTCGAAACGTAAAACTTTATGGTTAACAACTGGTTTATTGCATATAGCGATGCTTCAATGTAGATTCTTACACCGTTATGGAGCTAGAGGGACTACATCCAAGTGAAGAGTGGTATATATGCATGATATGTTGTGATAAGCAGGAGATTAACATTTACAACAGGTAAAAGATAACAAGTAGCACACAGATAATGAAGTCAGATGTACAGTAATATAACAAATAGCACACAGGCAATGACGCCAGAGTTCAGTAAGGAACGTGCATATGCATGTACATGTATTTTCCACTTTGTTGTAGTCACTCCAACTTGGTAACTGTGTAACGATCTACATTTTAGCTATAACGGATAGAATTATCATTAAACCGCCCGCATATTATCAGAAATGTGATAATGTATCTTTTTATTTGATAACAAATTCCATCCATTTCAGCTATAATAACGGTAACGCTCTTTTTCAGAGTATTATCATTTGCAGAAGCCCTCGGTCTTTTCAACTGCACTCCTTCGTCGGGCAGTTAATGGAAGACCTCAGGCTTCCAAACCCTTATATCAAAATGCAATAAACCAGAAGTTGCTATCCATAAACTTGTACATTTTCATATTTACTCACCAACTTCTAGAATGCCAATCAAACATGTTTGCTAGTGTAGATTTCATTATGTGCAAACTGCCATGTTACATCTTGAATATTTCAGACTTCAGAATTTAACAACAATCACACATTATTTTTGAACAAGCATTACATTAATATTGTTTATTAATAAATCTTTCAAAAACAGTGATTTACAAAAATATGCTTGTCTTTTGGATGTTTCATAAGATTTGCGGGGTTGCACATACACCCTTTTTAGTTCGAAAAAAATCTTTATTTCTGTATAAATTACCACCAAAGACAATAAATAGATCTTTGTGCACCCCCCCCCTTTTCAAAAAAGCTGTATCCGCCCATGGAATCCATGCTATTGTATCCTAATTGCTGAGATTGATGCTCATGATGCTAATCACTGGATTGTCTGGTTCGATACTCAACTATCTACAGACCACCATCATATACCTGGAATATTACTGAGTGCAGCTTCACATAAACAAGACAAACTCACATGATTTAATCTGAATAAAGCTAGGTTGACCACTGAATAACAAATAAGAATCATGAACAATTATATTGAAAAATATATTGTACATTATACCAATAACAACACATGTGACAACTTGCAGACATGCATGGCTTTTGTATGGGGAACAGACACATAGGAATGTGTTCTAAGAATCGGACCTGGAGCTACACCAAGTCTATAAATAGAAGACCGGAAAACCCTAACCTCGCGCCCAACAAGAGAAACATTGAGAACCTCTAGTCGATCTGTCTGGTTAAGTTTCAGGTAAGTTTATTATGTCAGTATATTTTGACTTGTATCAGTTCGTTTATTAGTGTGGCAGCAGAGTTCCACCAATTAAGGCTGCATATGCTATAACATTTATGTGTCCTTGATCACTGACAGTTTCGGTATATTGACGATATCCTTCCTTCTCGCAAGTTCACCACGGAGTCTAGCACACACATTCCCCAGTGGACCATACACTGTCAACATTCAATACATATTGAATTAGCAACCCATAAAGCTTAATTTGAATAGTAAAATATACCAATATGGCAGTATAGTTAAATTGTTACAGACAAGGGAAGTAACTCGTTCATATCCAATTTCAACTGTTTTTAATGGTTGTCCGGGTTGGATAAATATATTACATATTACTTCAACGGATCGAGTCAGGAAGTAAGTCTGATGGACGTTGTTTGTGTGACAACTTAAAGACTGTATGGAGACAGGCTTTCTCTCATAAACGAATATATATATTTTCACTGAAATACTAATACCCTGACCACAGTCCGATTCTTTTGGCGTATTACTTATAGTTTTCGGTCTGTAGTTGGAGTATTTTAGCTTATCTAAACTGAATGTTCATTTGAGCTTATTTAATTTTGACGCTCGTCTGCCCGTCGTCCATCGGTCATTCGATATGTCCTCGGTAGCCGTTCGACCTATAAAGTTGATCAATATATCTTCCCAATACCTGGATAAGTTTGATATATGATGTACCTTATATGCTCTTGAACGCGTGTCCTGTATTGTCGTATATGTGCGAATTTGGCAGACTTCCAAGTTCAAACCAACCATATTGAACATGTAGATTTGGCCTTCTAAATTATTCATGGATCGAGGTGAAATTTACTATAAGTTGTGGCAGCACCACTCGGGGTGTATGTGGTTTTATGCGTGCCTCGTTAGGTTTTATACCACAAGCCAGAAATCCACGTGCAGTCTGTTTCCTTCGTGGCGGGGCATAAGGGATGTTTTCTCCCGAACAGAAAGTTATTTCCCTCCAAGGTGGGATACATGGTATTTTACCAAGATCACATGAACCAATCAGATCTCAACATTCTGACATGGAGGTAAGAGTGAGTGAGTGAGTGAGTGAGTATGGTGTCCGCTTGGGTCATATGTAACTTCAGTGGGGGTTTGGGGTGTCCACCCAAGCGCCGACCCCCAAAATCACTATGTAAGGCAATGCACGTTCAAAATGTCATCTGATGTAAGAATGGGGGTTTATTTGAATGTTAGTTTTATGTGCCTACTTAATATTATTGGAAATGTCCCCCGTGTTCTTCAGGCTATGGCTGAGGTACATTGCCGTGAAATCCGAGGCAAGACTATTGTTCGCTCGCCCATGTGTCCGCCAGTTGTGGACCTGTGCTTTGATGATACTCTACTGGAGAGACTCAGTACAAACAAGACCATTAAAGGTGACGGACTGGTAATACATAAAATCCTAGATAATACAGTGTTCTATGTGGTAACATGCTTTCCTATATTGCATCTTTCTCGCTTCCCAAAGGTCACAAGTATGGTGTGCTTTTTTTGTGTTTCAATGTTTTGATCATGTAACACATGTTATATTTGGTACACTTTCTTAGTAAAGTACAGATTCTCGTACTTGTTTTGGGTTGAGCCCCGTCTGAAAGACAGAAAGTATTTCCCCAAATATATCATGTTACATTTGACCACTTTCTAAATGACATTGTGTGTTGATAGCTTTGATCATGTTTCACTTTTCATGTCAATACAGGGTTGCTTGCTACTAGTGGTATTGTTATATTAAAGTCATTTCATATTTCTACAGTAACGAAGCTATCGACACTAAGATGTTCAATGATGCATGTTTGTATTTTGGCTATATACCTTCTAAAGACGTCTATCCACTATTAGGCTTTAAGCAATCTAAGGATGTGGAATGTAACAAACTGGATTAGAAACAATACTTTCGACAGAAATCTACATTGCACGAAACAGTCTTTTAACCACATAAAGTTTCGGCATCTTTATGACTATGTTTCACAAGTTTATAGGATTCATCAGTGTTTTAGACCATTTTGTATCTATATGTATGGAACATTTTCTACACGTTAACGTTGTTCTTCAGATGGCGAGTGCCTCATGTCAGCGTATTGGGAGGACCCTATTACCGAACACGCTGTCTGCTCATCTATCACGTTGGCACCCAAAAACCATTCAGAAGACTTCGAACGGCACATGAGTCTCCATGTTGACACAGCCGATGGTCACATGTTTCAGTTCGTCAGTGCCATGTTCCAGACATTCAATGCGAAGTTGATTAACGTCAGATTGAGCCCCATCACGTTCATAGTTCAACATGAGGACAAACATTCAATGAAAGCCATGAGAACGAATGCACCGGGACTAAGAAATATTTTCAAGCGTTTTCTGTCCCACTTGTCCCATGGTGGGATAGAGATGAAGATACGACTGGTGAACATGTCCGCCCCGTCCTATGCCAATCGATGGTGTTTCTCAAACAAGTCTCAGTTGCACAAAACAAGGTTTGTATAACCATTGTCATGGAGTACATCACTCATTAAGCGCACACCTCAACATGATATATGCAGAGAACGCATAAAGAGAAAAACATGTACTACCCCGAGGTTAGTGAATACATTGACGTGTGAGTATTTTAGCTATGCTTGGGTGTGGGGTGAAGGCAGCTGCATAGATAAGCAGTAGCACTTGCCGTACGGTAGAACTGAAAGGAATCCTTGACGTCAACGTCTTGAATTTGACTTAAACTGATGTGGCAATGATTTGCTCACGTTACGGATACGATCACGACTTGGAAGTTAAATGGGTATATCCGTTTTGGAGGAAACCAGACGTTGATGCTGTTTCAAAATCACTTTGATTGTAAATTTGGTTTTCAATCAACACGAATTCTGGAGGACACCGAATAATAGAGCTCATATGAGAAAGCCAAATTGCCCCTTCATAATTAAATGTCATTTATATTTATAATAATTTGTTAAACTATATCCTGTATCGTTGCGTCTGTGAATATTTTCAGCATAAAATGTATTAATGCTTGTATAAAGTTCAGTTTAGAGATGTGCATCTTTTGGAGTTGGTGGAGTTGGAGATAATTAGAGTAAACAATGTACATCCTTACATTACAGTTCCATTGAGAGCGTCGTATATGAGCTCAGTGATGTGGAGGAACAAGAGGGGACATATTGTTCCCCCCGTACAGAAATGTCCGATCAGAGACAACCTCCTGAGAATAATCTCAACTCTCGGAAGCATAAAGAGGATGAAATCGGCCATGAATTGTCACCAATCAGCTCAAACCAGAAGAGTGATCGAAATCAGGTTACGGGGAAATGTAAGGCTAGCTCAGAAGAACATGGACTGGGGACATTACACGCTTACAAGAAAGGGCTGCCAACATATGAATCTGAGTACGAGGCGCCCTACATTGATGGTGACTCGTATGGTGGAAGACTGAAGGATGCCAATGCTATGGGGTGCTCTAAGACAAGTTCCATTTCTCCTTCCGCGGACTACGAGATGTTTTATGCAAGCGCAAAGGAGGTACAGTGCGAAAATCAGATGAACGAAGAGAATGGCCGCAACGTCGATGTCACGAGGAAGGAAAGACTGACAGCCAGCGACTCGGCCCTAGGTTGGGCAGATCGAGCAGAAGCAGATGACAGGACTTGGAAGACAGACACTAGTTTCGGAATGGGGGAAAATCGTCACCAAAAAGACCTATCTGATAGGAATTATGTCAATCTAAAGAGTTCTGAAACTAAATCGAAGAAGGCTCCTCTTCATAGTTACGACGCATTAGCGGCCCAAATTTTAAGGTATATATACTGGTAGACGAAAGTTTTTATGTTAGGAAATAACATCGTTGGATTTTCCATTACGTTTTCTGGTACGTTATCTTCATGCATTGGCTTGGTATACTGCCATGCTTAGCAAAGCATTTTTGTCATACTCTGATCGCGATGGGCTTCGTCTTGATAACACACAATCTTATTCAGGTATATAATGCGGGGAGATGTTTCGTATGTATGTATACATATTATTAAGTACACTATGGTCCAAATATTACATGACCGCCTCCGTGGTCTAGTGATAGAGCGGAAGATTCGATCCCCGGCTGCGTGATACCAAAAGACGTTAGGGGATGGTACTACCCTGTCTGGTGCTCGGCGTCAAGGGGCTAAAACAAGGACTGGTCGGCTCGGGATCAGTATACTGTGTCTGAGTGGGGTATTCATGTTAAACGGGGGTATGGTATTGCATTGGGCTAGTAAATCGGCATCAGTCCGGACTAAAGGAGCTTTATGTATTAAGCCAATTGCTTCTGTGTGGAGGTATGGCAGTCTGTGTGGAGGTATGGTATTATGACATGCTTATTTGTAATCAATTTCAGTTTCGATATAACGGTATCCAAAACAACTGCTGAATCTGACGGCCATGCGATGAGTATCCTGCAGCAGCTGAGGGAAGTTATAGAGGAGGGCAGCGGTAACAGGTGGTCTGATGTGGAGCACATTCTCCATGGTGGTGAGTGGACGTTCTCGCTCATCTGGAAATGAATGAACGAGTATGGTTTTACAACGCTTTTAGCAATATTCCAGCAATATCACGGCGGGTGGCTCCAGAAATGGGCTTCACACATTGTATATGTACCAATGTGGGGAATAGAACCCGTTTTTCGGCGTGACGTGCGAACGATTTAACCACAAGGCTACTCCAACGCCCTTATCTGGAAATGAAATAGTACAGGGAGAAATATTATTCTTGGCGTGTCCTGAAGCAAGTGGTAGAATGCTGTGACTATCTTTTTTATGTTTGCAGAAAATTCTGCTGTTCCAAAAACAGACAAGGGAACAGACACATTGTTATGTTTGGATAACTCTGGTGACATGGGGAGGCTTGGTTTGCAGAGGCTGCAGAGCATTGCACACAGCTTCATAGACGGTATGCCTCCACCGCTGATTGGTTTTCCTTGGTTGTAGTGGTGCAGAGTATATATGTCTACATAATATAAATTATGTATGTTTTATGAAAATTTCATTCAATGAACTTACACATAAAACAATATGCTAATTGATAAGTGAATATTGCATTATTCATACATAGTCACACATTTTACGTGTTTTATAGCTATTTTGTTTCTATCACTATATAAACAAGTGTTAAGTATTCTTATTTTCTTTTCTAAATAATTCTGTACTGACAGAACAAGTAGTTTATAACGTACAGTAGGATTTTTCAATATACGGAAATCGCATTGCCTAAAACATATAATTATTGTCTTCAAGGTACCGAGAACAACGCCGAGGAATTCGGTCTGGAAGAAAATATTTGCCTTCTCACTCTAGGAGGAAGGCCCGGGGTACTTCATCACTTTTCAAATGACTATGAAAGCCTCAGGGATGCAGTAGGTGAGGATACTGATGTACCGCTGGGAAACGTTTCCTACCTACATCATAGCATTAACAAAGCACCTCCATACAACGAGTTTTGGTGGAGCTATGTAGAAACCTTCTTCGTTCATTATTCTTAAGGTGCATGACACTGTTTAATTGATGGTCTTAAAGGTATAATGGCTATTAATTAGGAAACCAAAGAAAATTGAGATTCTTTTAGGTTTAGTCAGAATTTGAAGGCCGTCGCAGCACTATTTTTGAAACCGTGAGGGAAATTTGTTTTACACATGTCAAGGGTCAAGGTCAAGGCTTACATGATTAGATGTGATAACTGTGTAATGGCTTACGTTGATGCTGGTGTCTGCGGTCTAATGACCTATTTCTTGTGTCAACAAGAATGTAGAAACAGGCGTCTTGTTGTCTAGTACCATGGTGTTATCCTGAAAAAACATGTTTGACAAAAACAAAATAGTTCATGCTTGATACCATTGATTACCATTAGTTTATAGTAAATTTTGAAGAGAAAGTTTTCGGTCAAATCATAATATCGTGTACGGATTTAATCTTTGTAAGAAAGATACAGATTAAACCTTTGTAAGAAAGATACGGATTAAACCTGTGTAAGAAAGATACGGATTAAACCTTTGTATGAAAGATACGGATTAAACCTTTGTAAGAAAGATACGGATTAAACCTTTGTATGAAAGATACGGATTAAACCTTTGTAAGAAAGATACGGATAAAACTTTGTAAGAAAGGTACGGATTAAACCTTTGTAAGAAAGATACGCATTTAACCTTTGTAAGAAAGATACGGATTAAACCTTTGTAAGAAAGATACGGATAAACCTTTGTGAGAAAATAATAATGTTTATACTTTAAGGTGTAGAATTAATTATGTTAATACTAATATATGTGTATATGATTGGTATTCATATTTATTACAATAGAGGATATGGAATTCGGCGGATACTCACCCTTTCTCCACTACATGCTGGTCTGTGTAGCAGCTCTTACTAAAGGTAAGTTGAACTTGATTTTATTATCCGATTAACAAAAACAAACTTACATTCTCCCCATTATAACACGCATCAATTTCATGTTCATACAACCCACTGATACACAAAACGTGCGAACGTCACACAACATTAACATCATGATTGATCTATATTGAACATTCCAATGCAGGAGGTGTTTGTGATTTCGGAGGGTATCTGAAAGTTCCACCTCGCATCGTGGTCGTGACAGATGGAATAACATCTAACAAACTGGACCAAATACAGGACACACAGGTACTCCATGCTTAGAGAAAGGCCTTGGATTCGCTGCTTGTTGCCAACTATCAGATGATGATGTTTTACACTGACCATTTGATATTGGCTCCAGAAATACTGGGAAAAATAGTTTTGCCGCAGGTTTTACAAACAAATCTGGCCATGTTGTACATGTTCTCTAACATTTTGTGAAAACAGAGAAAAGTGGCTTCTTCCAGAGAAAACATGTTGACTTAATGCTCAAAATGTGTATTTCTTTAATAAGAATATTGGGGACACGGGTGGCCCAGTCGTCAAAGGCGCCGCAATTCGCTGTGCAGAGTTGCGTCCCTTGGGCAGTCAGAAACCTATGATTGAGGGTTCGAATCCCGGTTCGCACCGATTATGTTTCAAGGTTTGTCGGCACCATACCCGTGCTCGTGGGTTTCACCGGAGTGGTAAACGTCTGAGACCAGCATCACCTCGGGCTTTCCTCCCACATTAAGCTGACACGCCGTGATATAACTGGAATACTGTTAAAAGCGGCGTTAAACCCAACTCACTCATTCTCTAATAAGAAGATTGCATGGAATGGGAATATATAGTTACATGCAATCAATATGAATAATATTGACGTTTGCACCTGATACCCAGTACGTTATTTCAGGAATGCCAACACAGCAACAACATTGCCATAATATAAGTAAAGAGATGATAAAATCATGATCTTTAGGTCTCAGTAAAGATTTCCTATGTTACAATAAGTGTGTACAGTAGGCCAATAATCTAAGGACGTTATCATTTTTTTATTTTTTTAATGGTTTAAGTAATCGAAGGATGTTATAATATAATCATAGAATCACTTTCTATAATCTATATTTTGTATTATGATAGCTTTTTTGTACAATTGTATACAAAGTAGGCTGGATTTAATTTACATTTATCGTATATCTATCAATATGTACCGTGCGCACGTTTGATCAAGTTCATGTGTGGAGTTTTGTTTTCTGTCATAACTGTACAAGTTTCTCGATGCAGGGATTCCGTCACTTTATGGCGACACTGATGCAGATGGTGATGAACCCTATAACGGGACGCGTTGTCAGCCCAATCATATTTGTACCGCATGGACTTGCAGAAAAGGTTTATGTATATGTTTTGTAGATTAATTGTTCGTTGTGAAACTTGTGACCTATAATCCATATATATCACAACGGTCTTGAAATAGTTGAGTCTGGACCAGGCAAACCTGTAAATGAAAACATCAACGATTGACGACAGGAAACCAGCCAAGCCATTGATCACGACCAGCCAGTTCAATGTAATCGAATCTGTGACCAGCAGTGCCGGGGATCTATTTTAACGGGGAAAATGTTTCTCCATGAAGTATATTCTTCAGTATTAGTTTAGGGCCCTGCTATTTTGTCTATCATATTTTACCTATCATATATCTATCTGGCCACTAAATCGTTTTCAGAAAATGATGCAGTCGACTGCTGATGTGTGTAATGGAATGATTGTTCATGATGTCAAGACAATATGCAACCACCAGAGAATACAAGTGAGTAAACTGTGGTTTAGTTGTTTGTTTGTTTTTAACGCTGCACTTAGAAATATTCCAACAGTATGACAACGGTCTTTAAATAATCGAGTGTGGAACAGACCATCCAGTGACTGATATCATGGAAGAACGATCAACGCAACTGGAATACGATTGCATGCATCAACCAAGTCAGCGAGCCTGACGAACCGATCCCGCTAACCCCTTACAAAAAGAATGGGTTGCTGAAGACCAATTCTAACATGGACAGTCGTCTAAGGCGCCGCAATTCGCTGTGCATAGTTGCGTCCCTTGGGCAGTCAGAAACCTATGATTGTGGGTTCGAAACCCGGTTCGCACCGATTATGTTTGTCGGCACCATACCCGTGCTCGTGGGTTTCACCAAAGTGGTAAACGTCTAAGACCTGCCTCCCACATTAGCAGACACGCCGTGATACGTCTGGAATACTGTTAAAAGCGGCGTTAAACCCAACTCACTCACTCCTAGTATTGAACTTGAAAGGGAGTACATCATGGTATGTCAATATCCTATTTATAAAATTATATAACGCTTGCGTAAAAACGAATCATGATTATACATGTACGCACACACGCTAACACGCACGCACACATGAATTATTAATGTGAATGACTATACTTTCAGATCCTCGTTGCACAAATCATCAAATTTGTAGAAATGGACAGTACCATGCGACTGACCAGAGTAAAGGACATTGACCTCATTGTTGACGCTGTTTGCCCGGATCTGTCAAGTGCCGAAAAAGTAATTTAATAACATAATCCGGTCATTAATGGATTCCAAGCTCATGTACATTGTCAGATATTACAGTTGCATGTCACTGGTCGTCTAGAGTATTTAATCATACGCATTGCTATCATGTTCTTTTGTACAAAATGTCTCAAAAGAAACAAGCCAACTGTTCCATGACTATAGAACGTTTATTTACACGGTGGATCCATAACGTGATATATATTTATCGAATCCCCTGGTGAGCAAGAACAGGTTTCTACCCGTCTGAAGGGTCTAAAGTTATAGATTTTGGTCTACATATTATATACATGAAGCTTCTTAAGCCTACTCATGCCCCAAATGATGTATATCTATTCAATATGTTATGTTCCCTAATCTAGATATTGCATTGGTACTTGTTTTTGCATTACGACTAGACAGCTGTTATACAGAAAGTCAACGATAATCTTGACATGGATTTTGGAGCTACGAACATGTTTGACAACGTCAATGTGAAGGATGACCTCCCACCCCTTGGGAAAAGAGTGATCCGAGGCCCAGACTGGCAGTGGAAGAACGAAGATTGTGAGGGGACAGGGACAATCGTCAACCATGCCATCAAGGGAGGTGTGTGGACTGGTACTGACTATCATGGTTGAACCATCTGATAGAAAGTACGAAACACATAGTTCATAAAACGTACTTCTCATTTCAGTCATATAAAGTTTTATCTTCTTCTCGTTTACTTAAATACTTTACATACAACATGTTATTTGCATTTGTTATTGGGAACCAAATTGAATACAAATTATATATATCCAGAGGAATATTTAGCAATACTTTTTGTTGTTGGGATTTAGGAAAAAAGTGACCACTTTTATTTTGTGCTTTCAGTGTGTTTGTTACTGTTAGTTGAAGAACAAAGGTTTTAACGTTTTGTTGACCTATCTGGGGCAAGTCACACTGAACCAATACATTTTTGTAGCGTACATGTGGGTGCTATGGGACAACGGACAATGCCACTGGTACAGATATGGTGCAAACGAACAGTACGATGTGTTACTCGTGGATGACCAACCTCGCCTGCCAGATGGAGTGGAACACATCAGTATAGGAATGCAGGTACAGAGAGGTGAGAAATATGCCCAGACTAGCATCCAGGTGACTTACTCGCCTGCCAGATGGAGTGGAACACATCAGTATAGGAATGCAGGTACAGAGAGGTGAGAAATATGCCCAGACTAGCATCCAGGTGACTTACTCGCCTGCCAGATGGAGTGGAACACATCAGTATAGGAATGCAGGTACAGAGAGGTGAGAAATATGCCCTGACTAGCATCCAGGAGACTTACTCGCCTGCCAGATGGATTGGAAGACATCAGTATAGGAATGCAGGTACAAAGAGGTGAGAAATATACCCAGACTAGCATCCAGGAGACTTAATCGCCTGCCAGATGGAGTGGAACACATCAGTGTAGGAGTACAGGTATATCACGGAGGTACATATGATGTATTGTGTATGTGCTTACAGCTTTGGACAGCATGACACAGCATGGCACGTTTCCAGTTAAAGCAGTTTTCATTCTGAATAAACATGTCTTAACATCATCATCTGAGTACGCTTCTTTGTTCTTCAAACAGGGCCTGACATGGAAGCGAGCAGCTGTGATGGCCTGTTGGGGACTGTCATAAGAAAAATGGAAGGCAGAGTACTGGTACGTCATGTCATACATGCGATAACATTGTGGAAAGCTCTCAAAGAAGAGTGTTGCTGAGACGAAAATGATATCTTGTGAAAGAATTGAATATAAACATCCTTCATCCAATCAGTTGAAGGTAAATGTTTATGTTTCAAAAGTTAAATATTTAAGGCTACAATCCCACATGGATTCGTAGGATCTTTTATTAGGTTGTGTACTCAAGTAGATCTTGTTATATTCATACATGTATATATCGACTTTAAAACTATTTCAGGTCATCTGGGAGAATCAAAGCATTTGCGATTATAGATATGGGGAAAACGACAAATACGATGTTTTAATCAGGTAGGTCTGATTACGATTAAACAGGACTTTTGCATATGTCCATGCAGTATTTTGGGGATTGTATCTGATATTCTTATTCTGCCCCCACAGGGTTCCCTTGCAGTATGTAGCGACCCCAAGACAAAACGCATCAGATGCAGACGCAACACTCAGACCATCACATGGTGAGTTTGTTCCAGAAGAAAATACACAAACCTCTTACTCAAATAACTTCGTTTTGCCAGTTTTAGAAATAATTGGGAAATTGGGCCGGTCTTTACCACCGTAAATATATAACTTATCATCCAAACCTGACCCCCGAGGACATATCCTTGGATAAGATCAAGAAATCTCTCCTAAATGATATCGCTGAAATGCAATTGCATCACAATTCTTTAAAGACCATTGTGACGTCATCGGTTACCATGACGTCACAATCAAATGACATCCCTAATCTTTCGCTACTGAAGCAGGGCCCCGTTCCACAAAACGATCTTAGCGCTAAGATGATCGTAACTCCCATACTTTAACATAGGCTAACGACAATCATAGCACTAAGATCGCTTTGTGGAACAGGCCCCTTGTTAGCAGTGCTTTTTACACAAACACACTGCTCATTACTGTCTACAACAGAACCAGTTGGAAGAATAATGTTAGATAAATAGAATCTGATCCTTGTGTCTTTTTTATATCAAATACAATTATATCAACACTCGTCGATAAAAGTTATATCTTCTCGTGTTCATATGTGACACCAATAAAACAACACCTATTTCCATCACCCAGCCCCCTACATTTAACCTTTTCAAAGGGATATGTGGAAATACAGATACAGGTGATTGTTAACCTCATAGAATAAATCCAGTCATCCCCCCATGTTTTATACAGAAGACCAAGGCGCATACGAGTGGCAGTGGTTTGATGAGATCCAGTGTGTATGGCGTCCTTATTCCGAAGTCACTGATGCCAAATTAAAGGCATCTTACATGAAGAGGCCAAATGGGTCATGTATTGTCGAGAGAGATGGAAGAAGGTTTGTGACATCTGCACCCCTTTATTCTTCTTTATGGCATCACAACGAGATTGACATTGCGAGAAACAGAGCAATCTCATTAAAATCAGATCTTAGTTCTCGCTACCGCTAAACAAAGATCTGAGGACATCCCATTACGGTCACGTCAGACTAACCTTGCGCGAACTTTGAAATGACTGACAAGAAGTCCACATTAGCCAATCAGAAGGCAGCTTTCTCGTGCTTTACGACACTAATTTCAAATTGGCGACTACGCTTTGAAACATATTTTGACAAATTCTCGATAAAAAAATTGAAACCTGAACAAAAAAACATTCTGGAATAGCTAATAGATGGTCTAGATTGTATGGATTCAGTCCTCAAGCCCGTAACTATCGTTCGGAATACCCCGTGTAAAAGTTTTCGAGGTTGCAAGATCAGAAATCACATTCCGACTGTCACTTTCATGATCTGGTAAGCGACGCTTTGATTGGTCGGATGAAAGGTCGTTCTGACGTGACCCCTAATGGGATGTCCTCAGATCTTTGTTTAGCGGTAGCGAGAACTAAGATCTGATTTTAATGAGATTGAGAAACAGAGTAACCTATAATGTTACCTGAATGATACAGTATTTCTATCTGAATAAACATACAAGGACACAGTACAATTGCATGTTATGTTCAAACATGATGACATGTGTTAGTTGTTTTATTCATTAATTTCACGTCACTCCAAGTGGTGAATCTTTATTTTATTTACAATTTAGTTTCAGAGTCTCCTTTACGAAGTTAACCGAGAAGTCTATGGATAAGGGTACTACAACAGTCGTTCGGAAATGTTTTGGTAGGAAGAACTGTAATTATTCTATACGGAATTAGGAACACAAAATGATTGATTTGAATGGTGGCCGGGCTACCTCATAATGACACCATTTCAAGTTGAAGAAGTTAGTAAAGATAATAAGATAACGTAGATATATTAGGTATTCTGTGTGGTAATAGTGAAAATGACATGGCATAGTGTGTATTACAAGTGACGCATTATTTATTTTGGTTATGATAATTCTTTTGTCTCTTTCAGTTTGATCAGAAGATTGGGGTAGCATACAGAAGCAAGGATGCGGTGCTTTGAGGATAGCTGTTTCATAAAGCATGTTTCTGCTTATTATTAGGACATCATTTTTGAGAGTGCCATGTAGCAAACATTGAATTCTATGCACGCGACCACAGATATACTTGGAAACGTGTTTGCCAGTGATATGAGGCCTCAATGTACAAGCAATCTATGTCTATTCATGTGGGATTATTTTGTTTGTATTTCAAGGAAATGATGGCACCTCCATCTAGTCTTCTGGAATCAGCAGCACTGATTTGTTGATTGTCAACATGAATGTGCTGTTGCGATCATCTTCAACATTTACCGAGATAGATGTGACCACACTATCCCATGTACTGTGAATACAAGCAATAAATTCAGAATGCTGGACAACTCTGTCCTGTTTATCTGAGCATTGTCTATCTGTCTGTATTATGTCTACATTGTATGTAAAGGTATATCAGTATTTTTTTCATGTGAAAAAGAATTCAGAATTCAGAACAGTTAGATACAGACCATGAGGACCCCGGAGCTGTGAAACATTGATGGATATGTCAGTGTGGGGATGGTCGCAACATTTGACTTTATTTGTTGATGATATGAATATGTCACATGTATGAAAGTCAAGAATACATTGACAATGAGACAAACAAGCGTCATGTAACAGTTGAAAAAGACGAGTGTGACTGTTTCTCAATGAAGTTTACATCATCATGTATGTCCTTACTGGCATCTAATAAGATGATTTGGGTGTTTCATATCACTCAAAAACGATGTCACCATGACCAATATTCATGTGTACATGATCTGAATTGTAAATGTGTAAATAAATTTCGTATTGTTTGTATTTCGTATTGTTTGTTTTCAGTACAAAGCTAACAAAAAGGCCAATACAGATCACGTGCAGACGTCTTGTATTAGTATTACACGAGTTCTGTGTGCAACCGGCAACCACAGCTATCTTGTCCTTGCAGATGCAAGCTGGCAGTTTTTATTAATTATTTTGTCACGAATGTTGTGGCGTGCATCCTGCTCAAAATCATATCTCCGGATAAGAGAACAATACACAGATTGAGGATACTTATCATGGCGGTTGTCGCTCACAGCACGGCTAGGGCTATGCGACGGTAGTTGGAAGACCGGGTGAACTGAGAATCACCAGCCATTAGAACTATAGAGTTGTTTCCCTTGCATCACGCTCTAGTGTATAGCTCGGGTTTCCTTCAAACTTTAAATTCCTTTTCTCACCTTGTTTAAAAACTGTATGGCGATGATACAATACATTTGTTTGTCCTCTATTAACGACATTCTGGTGAAATTATAGTTTTATTTTAGAAAGTATGATATTATTCATATTTTTTATAGTCTCGTTTAGACATATTATGTTTAGAGGTAGTACACGATTCCGAAGATAAACATGCGTATATACCAGTATATAAATAGGGCAAGCGTGTTGGGCTGAATAGAGAAACTACAAGAACAGAGGTGAAGGTCATAAAATATCTGCGTGACTCAATTCCTCGAGAAACCTATTTACAAGGAAGTATGTTGGAAAATCCAGGCCTAGCGCAGACGTAACCAATCTAGAGCGAGAGTCCGCCTGGCAGCCTTCCAACAACCGTCCCAGTCAATACCAAGCCTGTCGCGGAGTGATATAATCAGGTCATTATACATGCCGAAATAAGTCACATGACTGATCTAATAATAGAAACATGGAAATACCAGTCACTCGCACAAATATAAATCCAACTTCAGCGATAACAGAGAATCCGCATGTAAGTGTTTCGATGTTAACTTTCCCATGCACGAAGTGCAGATTAAGTCATATATTTCAGTGTATCTGGTTATATACATATGTATACATTATACTGTAAATCATGCATGTTGATTTGTTGCTTTTCTGGGGTATTTCGATTCAGTTTAAGTGAACATCATCCATTATGACATTGGAGGTCATTGTGCGTGACGTCATATAGCAAGGCAATGGTTCCGCCATCAGTTTATATATATATACAGGTAAATCAGAATCTGTTGAAGTAGTTTCTGTAATGTTTCTATTATTATCGTGTCACATCACCTGGCTATAGCCTGTCACTACTAGTGACGTTTTAGTTTAAGTTTGACGGGCTATATGCAGTGAACGTGTCAGTTGTCCCACGCGTCATCTAAATATGGGATGAAGGCTCAAAGACTTTTGGTACTGAGATGATGCCCACGAGCACGTGTATGGTGCAGAGCTCATTCTTAGTTCTTGAATGATAATAATACCGGTCCTTGATGATAATACATTTAATATTTCACATCTGACGTCTTTTGGAGACCCGTGTTAGAACTGGCCCATCCTGTGGTAAGAGGACTAACGGGGTCTGGTGGTCAGGCTCGTTGATACATGTCATCCTATCCCAATTGTGTAGATCGATGCTCATGATGTCAATCACTTGAATGACTGGTCCAGATTCCATTATAAACAAACAGACCGCCGTATATAGCTGGAATATAATGTTAAACAACAAACACATATTTAAAAGAAACCACTAGATATTTGAGTGTACAATTCTTAATGATAAAACCCTTTTTCAGGAGAAATGGCAGGAAAAAATGACTGTTTATCGCATCAGGTCATCAGAACTGCACACGTTTCAGGAAAGTCAGTACTATTATTTCTGCTTATATACAGGTTAACATCGCCATATTCTATGCATGTGTATGAGAACAAGTACCATCTCTTGCCATGTGTGATCCATAATCTCATGGTGCGTAATTTTGCCTATTTCAGAATGGACGGTGGAGCCGAACCCCCGAGGGTCCCCAGATCTGATTTTCTCAATAAGATTAAAGTCAAACTTGGAGGTAGAGGGAACACTTTACAGTATGGGAGGAAGAATCAAATGGTTATCTCCGGTTCAGCAGCTGGGGCCCAAGGTATTGTCATACATACAATAAATCATAAGTGTACTAAATACGACATATGTTTGCTACACAGGAAAGTATTTGCTTCCTCAAGGAACTATACTCACTATAAGTGAGTGGGTTTGGTTTTACGCCGAGGGGAAATAGAACACTGTTACATCAATACCTTTGCCACTAGGCTACCCCAGCGCCCCGATATACCATAATGCATGCACACACATGCAGGAGTAGGGACGCATACACAAACACACGCAGTGACGTTTATCCATCTTTTTTTCATGGCACTCGGCATTAGAAGATAAAACAAAGAATGGTGGACTCGGAGTCAGTATACTATGTCTGAGTGGGGTATCCATGTTAAACTGCAGCATGGTATCTCGGGGAGTTATCACCATACACCCGGCATAACTTCCGTCAAATACTATAACAGTCACATGCTATATAAGTGATAAACCTTATTTCACCTCACCTCACCTTACCTCGTCTCACCTCACCTCACCTCACCTCACCTCACCCAAGTACCTTTATCAACAGAAAACCTATCAATGTGATGTTGAGATGACCATATAATGTTGTACTTTTTGCCATCTATTTCTCATTACGACTGCACAACAACTTGCCTCACATGTAATGAAGTATGTGATCACCTGTCTTGCAACAGAATGTAAATGTATACATTCCCTGTGTAGGTGCAGATATCCCCGATGTGGATCTGAGTGACACCGATGAACCCTTGACAAACCGCGAACGTTGGAGAGGATGTGATGGTCCCGAACTCGATCTTGGAGGAATCCAAAACAAGATACAGATCAGTGAAGAGAACACTCTTGTTGAGACGGGGAGTCTTGATAACAGGGAGGGTAATTACAGAACAGCTTTTCAACTGTGATAATGCCGTGACATATTGTGTAATGCCCGTAGTCTAGAGTGAGTGAGTGTGTTGGGTTTAACGCCGCTTTAAACAGTATTCCCGTTATATCGCGGCGTGTCAGCTTAATGTGGGAGGAAAGCCCGAAGTGATGCAGGTCTCAGACGTTTACCACTTCGGTGAAACCCACGAGCACGGGTATGGTGCTGACAAACCTAGTAACATAATCGGGGCGAACAGGGATTCGAACCCACAATCATAGGTTTCTGGCGTGCCCAAGGGACGCAACTCTGCACAGCGAATCGCGGCGCCTTAGACGACTGGGCCACCCGTGCCCCCCCGTAGTCTAGAACTGTGATTCAACAGGAAGAGAGAGAGAGAGAGAGAGAGAGAGAGAGAGAGAGAGAGAGAGAGAGAGAGAGAGATATGATCAAACACTGATCTCTGTAACACAGGGTCGCGTGGAACATGGTCAATCCTATCGTTTGCAAATTATCGATGAAGGTCATATATCTATATCTGTATCTAAATTGTTCTGAGTTATCAAAGCTTTTTCTCTGTCCTTGGCTAAGGTAGCGATTTGAACTTTTTTATAAGCATGTGTTGTATTAAGTTATGATGTGTGTAAACCCTCAGTACCGATGGAGCAGGAGCCATCTCCACCTCACCATGGTATGGAGCCGACAGTAACAGCAGTGCAAGCTTCATCAGCTCTAGATATTGGTGAGTTACAATAGACACTGGACAACAAAAACGAATTACAACATTAAGCCTTATGTTGTTGAATTATGGAAGTGGTAAAGTGATCCTGATTATACCTTAGACAATAACCATTATTCCTTTGTTGTGATATCGATGTTCAACATGTTTCTTGGTGTACTGACAGATGCTGATCCAGAAGGATTTGAATCGTTAACATTGCCAATCAGCCGCCCTCAAAGGAACCCTAGTACACCATCGAATACCCTAAATGCTAGATTCCAGACTAATGTTAAGTCAGCTTATGTGCCTGATCATGGCTCGCTTGTAATAGACGGTGTAGAATCAAGAACACCTCTTCACTCATTTTCTGAAGATCAATCACCGTGTCATGATGGACCCTCTTTAATCGACCTGTCAAAAACACGTAAAGTGAAATCCCCACCAGATGCAGGTGAATCTGGTGGTGGGGCGTCTGATTTCTCGGCTGCGTTGTCAGGGAATGAAAGGGTAACGTCTCCAATACCTTTACCAGAGCATCGAAAGTCACAACGTGGACATCTACAAAACGTCCCACCATCTGCTGCAGATCAACAGCATGAACAAACATTTACAAGAGTGGAGAGAGGAAGTGCAACCAGGAACGGCGGTCACATGGAACAAGCACAGCAGTGTCTTCACTTCCGGGAGGTTCAGGGTCGGGATTATTACACCATTGACCACTGCTGTCATGTTGTGGACATAAGAAGAAGAAGTGATGTGTTTGGAGACGTTTCACAAGGTAGTATATCTTCTCACGTTACGTATTCGTACTTCGCGCCCATGCATGTCAGTACTCACATATGTTTCCCGGTTCGTAGAAGTGTGTGAGATTGTGTCGTCCTCCTGTCACCCTAATGACACGTTACCTGTCGACAGGGTGTCCTTGTTTCTTCTGATGTTGGTTCTCTGTTATGGTTATCATGGAATCCTATTTTATATAAACAAGGGTGAAATGATACGTCGTCTGATTCATAGTCGAGGTTTATTATTTTTCAGGAACTGGGATTTTGTTGAGCTGGTCATGGAATGCGACAAAAAAACATGTTGTATATACTTCATGGACTGTGGCACTGGCGGCTGACAGACACAGAGATCGTAGTGCAATCATTAATCAGCTGGTTCATGGCAAGTTCCTATCCCTACGGAATCTTGCTAGTGACATATTTCGTTCATACACCGCTCATCTCGTAAGTGTAACTACCGATTTATCGTTTACGTTTGGCCACTTAGAGGAACAGTCTGCAAATAGAATGATTGAATGTAACGGCGATGTCCACACAGTTATTTCTGGATATTTACCAATGGATTGTAAGTTTAATCTTCAAGTGTTAAAGGATGCAAGTTACGAAGTTTCACGTGACGCGAGTCCTGAAGAGTGCCAGCCAGATGTTCCAGCTGACATACAGGGTCTCTCAGAAGCGATACAAAAGAAAATGTGAGTATCATGTACCCCAAGAAGATACGGGAACTCTTAACACGTTTCCATGTAGGTGATTATTTACACATGCATTGAGCATTTGTTGTAGCGGTAGTTTAGTGCATCGTTGATATTCATCCATCTTTGAAATGTATATTTTGAAAATCTTCACTTTAAAATCTCACCTGTGGGGATTCCAACTATGTTTGTCGTAAGAGGCGACGTAATGGATCTGGTGCTGACGTGGCTGATGGCGGGTCAACGTACCCCGACGCCGTGGATCTTATAATATCAATCACTGAATTGTCTAATCCAGACTTGAAAAGGTACAAGCCTCCGTCATAAAGTGGGGTATTGCTGGGTGCGATGTTAAACAGCAAACACACTTATACCCCTTCACAATCTACAAGAAAGGCGCTGATATTCACCATTGAAATAATACAATATGTTATATCTCAATGTCCCTTGTAGGAATCTGTCAACGGAATCAAGAGAAGAGAGCAAAGGTAAGAACAAGTGTCTTGTCCATATCAGTTATACAAGAACTGAACGATAATACGTTGGTAACTGAATGTTCTTGACAGAGAGTGAAGGGGGTGTTATTGTATAAAAGAGGTAATCTTATTAGTTATAATGTACATGAAAAACATCTGGCATATTTACACGTATCAGTTATGTATAGTTCTGGCAGTGCATACACTTGAAATGTATATGAAGTAATTTTATATTGGTACTGTTAGTTTATAGCAACATTTTATATTCTAATTTGTTTCACAGAAATGGCAGAAGTTCAAGCGAAACTGGCAAATATGGAATCTGAATTCAAGCAGGTTGAGTCAACGTTTCGTCAGATTCTAAAGAACCAGAAAGACAATTCCGAACGCCAACTGCTGCAACCTCGCAATGATATGAGCAACTCTATAGGACTTATGAAACAGCAGCCGTCACAGATAGGTGCGACGCAAGACAGAGTCCCTGTAGACGTTAGAGAAATTCAAGAAAAAGAACGTGGTTTTCATCCATCTACAGTTTCAAGCCGTCATGATAGGTAAGTATACACAAGTTCGTAACACAAGTTCATAAAATGAACAGAACAGAACAGAAGTTTATTCAATATTTTAGGCCATATGACCTATAGTACAGTAGTGTTTGTTTTTTGTATCAACATTGTACAGTCACGTGTAGGTAATAATAAGTTTACATAAAATATTAACGTCTAATTTCAAAAATCTTCTTCAGGAATATTGACAGAGATGATATTGTATTTGCATTGCAGGAGTTCAACAAATTTCTCATCAATTGTTCATCTTTGTACATAGTTGAAATCATAGGGAGGTATCTATTTCTAAGAAACTGATAATATTTACAAATGAGAAGTACATGAAACTCATCCTCAACATAGCCTTCATTACAATAACGGCATAAACTACTTAAAAGTTTCTTTATCTTGTACATTTTTCTTTCTGAGATTGTTAACATTAAAATTATGTAATGATATACGTAATTTACACAAAGATCTTCTCAAAGTTCTATCCTGAAGTACAGATACATATTTTTCAGGAACAAGTAAAGATTTTATATTCGTATAATGGCATAAAAACCTTGAGGATGATATTTGACAGTGCCAATCTTGTGAAAATATATCAACTAATCTTTCCTTAAGCATGAAGATAAATAGTTTATCATTTCCAACATCTTGAGATATCCATGCAAGAGAAAAACCAGACATACAAAGAATATTTCTGATATCAGACACCCATAAACAATATTTACCCTTTTCATAAAATGTTCGTAAAATGACCACCATGTGTCAGATGGTGTGCATTAGATGTATTAAACGTTCCAAATATAATAGCAAAACGTGTCTGGTTAAGATGCTTCAGATTTGTATTGATTCTATATCAGCACCTATTCAACTGGGGAAACTAAACCCAATGAACTGGATCCGAAATCACAGCAAGCGGACAACATGCAAGTCATGGCGACATCTAACAGTCCAGCTGAAACAGGGCAAGTGTGAACACATACAATACTTCCATGTTTGAATGAGTGAGGTAACTTTAACGTCGCTTTGTCAATCATATCATGGCGTGGTAGTAGGGATGATACAGGTCTTCTTGTATATGTGATACACTTTGTAAAATACTAAAACCAAACATGACAACCATAAACGGTGTTACTATGCCCGGAAACGACATGTATACAATATATCAGTTCTAATGATGAATCTTTATTCAGGAGGATTGATATAGGATTCATGGACAAATTCGAGTCATTCCAAAGACGTCCGGACCCCACACCAGTCAACCAGGTATCCCAGGGATCACCAACAGTGCCACACTCTACCGACATGCCCAGGGACACAAACTTGAAGGATGACGCCAGGAATAACCATCTTTCACAACATCTACCAACAAAGAAGAGGTTCAGGTTTTCAACTTCGTATATATCTTTCTCTCAGCTTCATATACATCTGTATTCACAGCCTTTCGGTTTCTCATTAACAAAGTGATACATTTGTTGTATATCTGCCTTTCATAGTCAGTTTTATTCTATTGTAGTGCCAACATGTTGCCTACAATGTTTGATGCGTGTCGATTTTTCAGTTCCAGGCAGGATGTCAATGATCTGGTTCACATCTTACCTGAAGGTAACCGTTACCATCACTTATACAAAAAATTGTTTGTAATTCCGCCATTTTTAAAATTGTTTTCTTCAAATAGTAGTCAAGGTTTAAAATTATTATGGTATAGGGTATGAGTAAAATGAACTTGCGTCTATAGTTTAGCAGGTAATGTGACACATTTAACACTATCATTATAATGGAATAGAACCTGGGAAGTCCGCTTGAGCGAACAAACAATCATGTGCATCGACTTCGTCATGTGACCAAGACGTTTTCCGGTCCGTGACCCGGTTGCTGTTCATTGAATTGCCGATCTGCCCTAATCACTGTTCGCGATTGTCTTTTTTTCTTAATGATAGTTGGTTTTATTACGTACAGCACGCTTTTCACAATTGAGATCTGACTAGGGGGAGTAACTAAAAGTGTCTATGCAACATTGTATACAATATAGGTGTCTAGTCTTGGAGCTAGCATGCAAATACGGCTTGCACTTTATTACTTTCTAAACTATAGGACAACTTATAATTTTGTCGCATAGTCGACTAACGGGTACCTTGATTTGCAGAAAGCCTTGTCAGTGCTGAAAGGTTGCTGGAAGCATTCAGTGTGTCGAGCGTTGGTGATAGAAGATCGCACCCAGAGGTGAAACGTCTGGCAGAGTCCATAGCTTTGGCACTACAAGAGGGTAAGAGAACTATGACGTGCAGTATGCAGCTAGTCGCATATATATGTGTTAAATACAATTTCAAACTACACGACTAGCTGCGGAACAAACGGGAAACATTTCATCACTTCAGCTTTCTCATTCGCACATTTTGTGTGTGTGTGTGTGTGTGTGTGTGTGGGGGGGGGGGGGGGGGGGGGGTGTGTTATGTCGCTTTTAACAACATTCCAGCAATATCACGGCGAGGGGACACCAGGAATGGGCTTCAGACATTGCATCCATTTGGAGAATCGAACCCGGGCCTTCGGCGTGACGAACGTACGCTTTAACCATTGCATCACCGCTTGTCCTTTCATGTTGGGTGTCTTGTAGGTTTGATATAAGATAGTTTCTACTTTTTTTGATCATATGTTAGGTGGTATGTGCATGATGATCTATTTATTCTGTTTCATACCACGAAGAACGACCACCACCATCCAGATCAAAGGGTCCTGATACTATCCTTTGTCTTGACGTGTCCGACAGTATTGCACAGCACGGCCTTGAACAACTGAAGAAAGCTGCTAACAGCTTCATCGATGGTAAGCTATCTTTGTGTACTGCTCTAAACCAGTAAAACTTTTGTGAGAGAAACCTGGTTCTTGAACGTGAGTGTTTTGACATGTTATCATCGTTTACTTCAGGCATAGAGGACATAGCTGAACAGTTCGGGCTGGAGGAGAACCTTGGGGTGGTCGCCATGGGTGGGAGAAGCACGGTGGTTCAGGAACTCACTAATGACTTTGGCCTTGTCAGGGATGCTATAGGTATCTGGTTATACTTTGTTATATCCCGCTTCTCAGTTTAAGAATTTAACGCTTTGCATTTTGCATTATGAAATGATGTCCAATAGTTTTAACAATACTAAAAGTGGTATACCCTCTCATCTCAATTTGTTGATCATAACTTGTTTTCTAAAACTGTATTTGCTATAGATACAAAATAATTAAAAATCTGTTATCAGCATTAACGTTAACACACTAAATTATCACTTCCGTTACATACGTCTAAGTGTCATGGCCACGTTCCACGAAACAATGGTTGCGCCAAGATGATCGGTATTTTATCATAGACAGTCCTAGCGCTACGACCACTTTGTTGAACGGGTCTCTGGTCTTATTGTCATGTAAAATGAAAGTTTCTGATTCTATTAAATTTAATAAGTATTTTGTTTCAGACAATTTAGAGGTTGGTGGCCGAAGTCCTCTATTTGAAGCTCTCCTTGTTTGTGCCGCGGCATTGAAAGGGCGTGGTATGTATACTGCTTCCATATTGCGTTCGGGAGCCAGGGTGGCCCAGTCGTCGTAAGCGCCGCGAGTTGGTTGTGCAGAGTTGCGTCCCTTGGGCACGCCAGAAACATAAGATTTGGGGTTCGAATCCCGGTTCGCCCCGATAACGTTTCTAGGTTTGTCAACACAATACCCGTGCTAGTGGGTTTCACAAATGTGGTAAACGTCTGAGACCTGCATCACTTCGGCTTTCCTCCACCATTAAGTTGGCACGCCGTGATATAACGGGAATACTGCTATAAGCGGCGTTAAATCCAACTCACTCACTCACCACATTGCGTTCAGTTTGTTGCAACCAAAGTAATATAACCTGTGTCAAAGGTTATGGGGTATTTTGTACTGAAATATTCTTATGACAAGACTTTCAACGTTTCGTATGTCATCTGTATTTCAGGAGGTATTCTAAGTATTGGTGACGCACACAAGATCCGACCTCGGCTTATTGTTGTGACAGATGGATTAGCGACAAGCTATGCCCGCTGGACCGGCTCGGATGGGGGAAGTTCTGACCATGACGTAAGAGTAAAAAGCATCGTCACTGGGGGCTGGAAATATTCTCCGTCAATGCGCAAGCGTCGATATTTCTAGTTCACTGTGTATATGGAGGCAGGGTGGCTCAGTCGTGCAGAGTTGCGTAGCTTCGGCACACCAGAAACCTTTGATTTAGGGTTCGAATTCCGATTCACTCCGATTATGTTTCTAGGTTTGTCAGCACCATCCCCATGCTCATGGGTAAATATATGAGACCTGCATCACTACGGGTTTTCATTAAGCTGACATGCCGTCATAGAACTGGAACACTGTTAAAAGCAGCGTTAAACCCAGATCTCTTCCTCCCTCACTCACTGTAGATATTGCCATGTACTATGTTTATTTCCATACATATTCTACATCTCCCCAACCTACACAAGCAAGAGTACACCAATAATATGAATCTCTGGGGTCTCTATTTTCTAGTATGCATCCTGTAAATGAGTAGCAGGTTGTGGTGATGATTTCTGTTACTGTTCAAGTTGGATGTGATGTGACATGGCTTCCATGTGTGTTTTCCCCAGACCAAAGTTAAGCTGATTCAACTTGTTCAACAATTTACGCCGAAGAATAACAGTTCCGCACCTAATCCAATAGTATGGGTTCCAGTTGGAAAGGCAGATACAGTGAGTAGAAATATGATTCTGACTTGTCAGAAATGTCATGTCTTTTTAGAAATGTGTATCATCATCATCATCATCATCATCATCATCATTCCACTCACGTCGATATGGACTTAGTGCTTGTATTGTGGACTCAACAAAGCGGTAACCGCCAGCGTTCTGCACTGTCTTGGGCTTCCTCTTCAAGTCTGTTTTCTGCTCACACACATATAGCCATACATTGGCCGTTTGAGTCAACTATAAGCTATTTAATAATACAGATCAAAATGCACATGTTCTGGTAAATTTCAGGGCTTTTTAAAATCGTTGGCCAAACTTGGGCAAGGAGAGCTGGTGGAAGGCGAGGACATGGCGAGACTCTGCAAGAACTACAGAATCCAGGTATAAAAATCACACATCTCTTACAAGAAAATAAATGCGGAGGATTTTCTCATTGCAAACACGCTATCAATCAATAAACAATACGATACTAATAAGAACTGTGCCTTAGTGATCCAATGAAAATTACAAATATCTTCTTGACTTCAAGTATTCGAGTCTCGTTGTTTGCTTGGTACTTCGATCCCTATTTGATTCTCGTCAACGTTTTACCGTTAACTACCTTTGTACTCATGTTACAACAGGGAAGCATAGGAAAAATCCTGCTCTGTATACAGAGTCAGCATATGGCGGGTTCTATGTCTAGCAGCATAGAAACTGTAGCAGAGGCCCTGGTCGGAGAGATGGATCCAGCAGAAAAGGTGGGGTATGATATTACGTTCATTACTGTGTTTCAGTAGTCTTGGATATTAGTAAAGATATGGCGTTTGAATGATATCCTTCAATTCATTTTTGCCCCGGAGAGGCATATGATGAATGTTCCGTCCCCTTTTAGGAATTTAGATCTTAAAAATGTTTTGTTTCCGGTTTTCATAACGAACATATATCAATCAATTGTTCATCATGGTTTACCATTTTCGATTTGTTTTTTTTGTCAATTCCATAGAAACAACCCAAGTGTATTCAATGATAAGCTCGTCATCTTCCCATCGTAGTGAGATAGCTAAAGGTACCAGTCAATTGGTAGCATATCAATCAGGTATTGATTAGGTCGCATTGACTCTTTCGAACAAGTCCCAGGCAGCTGGTGTTGGGTTTGGAACTTGCACTCAATTGCACATTACCATTGGCTGGGGATATGATTATTTCATGTTTAGCCATTAATTTCATTTACTTAAGTCAGCGGTAGTGGAAGCAGTGAAGAGGAAGCTTGACCACAAGGACACGGACAGTGATGATGATGATGATAATATAGAACCGAACGACTTCAAACGCCTCCGAGAGAAGAAGGCCCTGCTTGCCCTTGGGACGAGGGTCTGCAGGGGCCCCGACTGGAAGTGGGGTGACCAGGACAGCGGCGGACCAGGAACAGTGGTTAATCATGCCAAAGAAGACAGTAAGATCTCTTAAAATGTGTCAGATTTCCCACGGTGACCTTATCATTGCAGATCAATATGGTGTGTGTGTGTGTGTGTGTGTGTGCGCGCGCGTGCTTTTGTGTGTGTGTGTGTGTGTGTGTGTGTGTGTGTGTGTGTGTGTGTGTGTGTGTGTGTGTGCTGAGATACCCTGCCTCAGTTGAACATGGATGCCTCACTTAAACACAGAAAACTGACTCCTAGTCGACCAGTCCTTGTTTTAGCCCTTAATGCCGAGCGCCAGTTAGTTACTGGTATTCAGAGGATACACATTAGAATATCGCTCCATTTATAAAAGCCGGCTAATTAGGATAGAAGATGAACTTTTATATTGCTTAATGATGTTGATAATCGAAATTGCTATTACTTGTCTTTTATTTCAACTATGAACAAAACTTGTTTGATGAATACATAGTAAATGCAAACTCATTCCATTGGAACACAAATATGAAAAGAAGTTAAAGGTGTCTTTAAATGGAAAATAGCTGTTCATTTGTGAAACCTCTATAATATGAAGAATCATAGATAGAAACATCTGACATTTCAGGTGTAACATGTTGAAAAGTGGGGAATATCATTCTTCATACATATGCAATTTGAAGACGCCCGGTCTTTTATTTTCAGATTTGGTTTGGGTGTGTTGGGATTTCAACTCTACATTCTGTAGATACAGATATGGGTATGAGAACAATTACGATCTGTTAGTCCAGGACACTGCACGGTACCTGTGTGATGACGAACTCATTGAAATAGGGAACAAGGTCCAAAGAGGTAGGCATACATGTTGGTTGATATGGAACCTAGATATGAACTAAAGAACACATTAAAACATCGACGCAACCAAAGTAATATTCTTGCATAATACTCATGACAGTGACAATTTCAAAGAACTATGTGGCAATTTGAAGTAAGTTTTAATAATCACTGGAGTCAACTTTCACGTTGTGAAATCGTACTATTCGTAGGACGTGATTGGGCATGTGGACACCAAGATGGCGGGCCCGGAAGTTACGGGGTCGTGATCCGGAAAGCACAAGACGGAAAGGTCAAGGTAAGTAAACATAGGTGTCTCGGACATTCTTTACTACTATGTTTAGAGCATTTTTTGACATGATTAATATCTCATAGAATTAAGTGTATCACTTTCACAAGAATTTCCACGGTTATTCTCTCACTCCTGCCCGTCAGACTTTTCACAGTAACGTTTCATGTTGGTAACGTTTCATGTCATCTGTATATATAATTTTGTCTTGGTTTAATTGTAAGACTGATTAGGTACGTAAAATGTTTTTCAGGTTCGATGGATCGATGCGGATAAAATTTTTACATACAACTATGGCTGTGATGGACGTTTCGACCTCGAAATATGGTAAGTGAAGCTGATTCTGTTGTCAATAGGTGACTTACAATTGAGTGATGACAGTTGATGTCTTATGATGCCCGGCCTGGCGTTCTGTGATTTGTAACTAATGTATTTCGGAAGGCCTTTTTGAAATTCAGTACATATTTGGGATAATAACAACATGTTTTCTGCCTGGAAGTAATATGCAGTAGATATTCTTCAGTAAGCCCATGCCTCTGTGTGTGACACGCATTGTCACTTAATGGATTCGATACTAGATCTTATTTACTTTCCTAACTGTAGCCTTTTCTTTCTGGTCGCTTCCGTGGTCTAGTGGCAGAGCGTCTGTCCGGAGAGCGGACATACCAGAAAACGCTAAAAGATGGCACTTGTTGTTACCCTGCCTGGCGCTCGGCATTAAGGGGCTAAAACAAGGACTGGTCGGCTCGGTGTTTGTATACTGTGTCTTAGTGGGGTATTCATGTTAAACTGCGGCATGGTATCTCACTGGGCTAGCACTATAAAATTTGCATTAGTCCGGACTACAAGCAGCCACACACACGTACATGCATGCACGTCGCTATATAAGTGCAATAATCCTAATCGACTCTAAACCCCCACCTCACCTTATCTTTCAAGAAGAATTCAAAATATTATTCAAAACTACCATCCATTAGGTACAATATTACCACCCATTAGGTACAAAATTACCACCTATTAGGTACACAACTAACATTTGCATATATAATCCTTTAATAGGTTCCCCCTAAATTTCCTAAATTATAATTCCCAAATGAAATTTCCTGAAATTCTTTCTTCATCCTGCATAATTGTATGTCATTCATGTATTTTATTCAATCAACCTTTTTAGGATTTGCCAATGGATGTTTGTTATAAGGAGTACATCACATTTTCAGCAAACCAGATTTGGAAACACGGCCAAGGAAACCTAGTCCCGTACCTGCGGCAACTAAAGTACACGGTATGTACATGGAACCATTACCTCGGGCCCATCCCCTGAGAGGATTGTGCGGTAGTTTCTTGTGTTCATCTTGTTTTGACTAAAGCATTGTTGTACACCTGAATCTTCAACGGCCATTTTACCCCTCCCGTTCACCTACATACCTTCCATGTGTGTTGTAGAGTGGCAGTGGCGTGATAGCACGGGCAAGTGGCGGCTTTACGATGCTGTGACGACTGGGAAACTGGAGAAAGAGTTTCAGAGAAACGCTAAAGGATCTTGCTTGATACAGAGAAATGGGAAAAGGTACGAGTATGTAGCCTGGCATTGTGCATGATTCAATTAAAAAGTGTATCCTTAATATGATATAATATATAATTTTTACAGCTATTTTGCCCTTTACGCCACATGGAGTCTGTTTCGGCGGAAGATCTAGACTGATTATTCTCTTGCAGGGGCAATTTATATCTATAATAGTTTAAACTACGTGTATTTATTTCTTCATTTATTGTAAAATAATATATTTCAGTTTTAGAGTGGTATTCAAGAAAGATCCGATGATTGAGAAGTTGGTGTCTGGCAATGAAGTGCACGATGTGCGGCGACAGGGTGAGATATGTACTTGTTGTATGTGGTAGGGGAGATTGGGACAGAGATTGAGATTGTTCACAGAAAGACATTACTATGATGTAACGTTTATCGCAAGCGTGTATACAATTATTTTTCGTTTATTGTATTTTAGACTGGCAATTCTGCAAAAAAACAAGCTGGAGTCCAGTGTGTTTATCATTAGGTGTTGTATTTCAGGTATTGTAGCTGTTGTCTCGCCATGAACACATATTGTCGTGGTCTGTCCTCATTGCGATTAACAATATCCACATTAATGTAGATCTAATATTCAATTCTAGAACTCGCATTTTATGTTATTCATAGAAATACTACTTTCTTGACTTTCAGCTGTCAGTGATGAAGAACGCGGCCAACTCTGATGTATAGAAATGTCATTGCAAGAAACAGATCTTTTTTTTATATCTCATCAAATATCATAGCAATCGCTGTCATTCATTGTAGGAACTGCTTTCTTATTTGTCTGTGTAGTATTACCATGTTTCAACACCAATATTACTGAAATACGGTAGCTATTTCTATGACATGTGAACGAATACACCACGATACACCACGATACACCAACGCGATACACCAACATGAAGAGTATGTATCCTTGTGTTTCACGTTGTCACGATATATACTTATTTCCAAGGGAAAACACATGGCAGTTGTTGTTACACTGTACCTCAGACCATCACGAAGGTGTATGTCAGGTTCCCAGATTTACAAATAAGTATTATCTATATAACCAAGACTATATAAATAATATCTATACATATCTATATCTATACTATAATATCTATATATGTATATAAAAAGTGTATGTGGACTAAAACATGAAGAGGAATGCTTCTGTGCATCGTCCTGAGAGAATATTGAATCTGAGCACAGGTTCGTAGACACTATGATTATATCTGAGCACAGGTTCGTAGACACTATGATTATATCTGAGCAGCTCTATGTGATAAATGATCATACATAATTAATCAAATGATTTTGTACATATACAGGAGAGGAGGACGTCACTGTAATGGTCAAAATGTTTATTTCCATTTTCTATCAATTAAGATAGATCAATTTGTTAAGGAGGTATAAAATCTGGTTTCTAGAACTTCCACAAATTATGTATTTCATATAACAACAGTATTATACAATACTGAATAATTGTTAGGGCTAGGATGTTTATTTTAACTTCCTGGTTTTGAATGTTATGTTTCATTTTTCATGTCTCATGTGCTAATTTTATTCCGCTTGAAATAATAACATAAAATAGAACATGTTAGCATGAGTTTCGTATTTTATGCTGAATTCAGGATTCTTGCATTTCTATGCAATTTCAACGGGATGTACGAAATTAGTGAATGTGTTGTTCTAAGAAAATTGACAGTCACAAAATTGAATGAGTGTGTGAGTATGTCTTCACGCCGGTTTTAGCAACGTTTCTGCAATATTACGGTGGGGGACACCAGAGATGGGCTTCACCCATTTAACCATGTAGGAAATCAAAGCCGGACTAGCGAACGCTTTCAACTTTATTCTAACCCCGTGGACATGTCTGGCATGGTTCCTGGTTGACACAGTTTCCAAAGCGTTGACAAATGTCATTTACAATTTATCTACATCATACATCCATGTTATATTTTTACATCCTGTTCATTAGATCCTGTGGAACAAACCTAACATGTGACATAGTGAAACAACACGTTGTAAACAGATGCGAACTCAATACCCTTATTGCACGGACAAAACAGTCCGACAATTTAATATTAGCTGTACAAAAACATATATATGTAAAACTATGAGCCTTATTTAAAAAAAAAGAAAATACCCTGCAACAATATAATTTTATTTTTTCAAAGGTCTGAAGCATATATGGGTTTTTTTCAAGAATTTTCGGGGACAATGTATTTTGTACGATGAAATCCCATCATCATGCAGGAAAGAAAGTTCACACTTGCTTTATCTATAATCTGGTTTTGGTTTAATAAAATACATGTAATCCACAAGAATAGGTCTTCAGAAACTCATGATTGCCGTCAAAGGCGACTATGCTTGTCGTAAGAGGCGGCTAACGGGATCGGGTGGTCAGGCTCGCTGATTTGGTTGATGCATGTCATCGATCCAAATTGCGTGGATCGATGCTCATGATATCAATCACTGGATTGTGTGACGCTGTGCTAATTAGCGTCATTTCTCTTCCACTTTTCTCAGTCAATATTATATGTATTTGTACAGTTTTAAAGAGAATTGTATTCTCTACCTTTATATGTATTTGCTTTTATTGTCACTTTTCAACTTTTTATGTAATTCAGGATTTTGGGTCACTGAACACATATTTTGCCCATGTGTATTCGCTGTTTATTGTCCCTACCAATTTCATTTGAATATTTATTGTTGTATTTTTTATATCAGTGTATAGAACTTTTTTATGACCTATACGCTCATAGTTCATATGTGTATATACTCATAATATAATTTTAGTTATATTACAAAAACCGTGTTCTAGAAAACACACTCTCATTAACAAGACAGGGTTGTTTAGCTTTAGCCAACGTAAATAGGCTTATCTCCCATTGGTTACTTAATTAATTAAGTGGCAAATTAGTGATGGTCAATTAGGGGCTCTTTCTTTTAAAGGCCGACTCAAATCTTAAGTAAATCCACACACAGGTTTCGGAGTCCATACCACACAACCAACTAAAACCACACAATCCTTCCGACTCCCAAACAACCAATCAATATTCACGGCAGAACTAACGGGCATGGCCTCAGCCCTCCATAATCAAGAATAAAAAAAAACACAAAAAAATCCTAATACTTACCGACTCCCTAAGTGGACTGCAAGCCCTCCAAAACAAAAATACCAAAAACCGACCTAAATTAATAAATCAAATACATGTACTTAAAAGCTCCAACGACCTCACTAAGGCAGGCAAACAAATAACCTTCTTGTGGATACCCGCCCACGTAGGAATATACGGTAATGAAAACGCCGATAAAGCAGCTAAACTATCCCTCAAAATCCCAGAAATAAGCTTAAACTTACCCATCTCAAAATCAGAAATTAAAAGTGTAAACAAGCAAAAAATCACAAAAAATGGCATAACCTATATCTAAACTTAAATAGCCAAATCAAAAAGGTGCTCAGCAAACCACTAACCAAACCAAAAATTCTCCATCTATCCAAAAAAAATCGACAGAGTAATCACTAAACTCCAAATAGGACACACCAACCTAAATAACCACCTAAAAATTTAAAAAAAACACACTACAGGTAACTGCCCACACTGCAAACAACCAGAAACCCCAGAACACGCACTCATCCACTGCACACACTACCTAACACATCGAACCGCATTACAAACCACCCTCAATCTAAACAAGGCTCTAACTCTAGAAGCAATACTAAACCCACAAAATAAACTAGAAAACTTCAAGGCCTTAGGCGTATTCTTAATAAAAACGGAACTCATAAAACGCATCTAAAAACACAATAACCTACCAAATCAAAATCACATAAACAAACAAACTTCCCCCATACCCAGCTCCCTTAGTTCTCCTCCCCAATCCCATCGGCATCTATTCCAAATCTCGTTAAATCTCCAAAGTAAGTAAGTAAGTAAGTTAAGTAAATCAGTAACGTCTCGACGGACTCAGGTCACGCTGCTGGCTGCTCACTGCTGTCTTACTGCTGGACCGACCTAGGACTCTTTGACGGGATTTGGTGAGATCTTGAACTTTCTCTGAACTGTAAATGTTTGGATAACTTTGTCATACCCACATTTGCTTATCTTACCCCTTATTATACCCTTTTTGTAAGTTCGTAGACTGTTCTGCTTGCTCTTACGTTTTATTATAGGGTTATTTGTACTTGTAAGTTCATAGAACTAGCTATTTGTATCTTACAGTACTTTGGGAAGATATTTTGGGTAAAATCCTTATTTACGCTTAAAGCGTTGTAGTTCTTTAAATCCACCTATTATCCCTTAGAGGTAAATGTCCCGTCCCCCTGAGTCCCCGCAAATTGGTCCAATTAAGAGCTTATAATTAATTGGTCACAGCTCATTGTCTCAAGGTGTGAATTCCTGTCAGACGTAGACGTTAGCATATCCATTGTCTTGTCTAGCGTCCGGTGAGATTGATTAGCACAGCCTATTTAGTTGTGAGTTTGTCAATTAGCTCCATACTCAGGTGTTTATCTATCAGGTCCTACATACCTGTTGTTGTAACCCCTACTTGAGTTTGATTGCTTATGTAAATAAACTGTGAGTTTAGATTACAAGCCACTTGTTTGTATTATTTTTCTATCCTGACCATTGCTATTCACTGCCTGACATGCGGGTCTAAGTCGATCCCCATGGCAGACTAGTGAGGCGATTTTGGTCACCGTGATAATTGTCTGGTCAAAAACACATGCTTATGATATAGTCGGAATCGTACAATTGACATATTGTTAATGATTTATGGAAATGATTTTGTCGATTCTATTTGCACACACAAACTGTACATGGTACATTTGTACCACGTATTGCAAGCAGAGACGTACCTTAAAGAAACAAGAGACGATAGACACGACTACCTCTAAAGTAAAATCTCCCTTTCCCTCTGTTATTCTACCCAGATCATGTTAGAAGTTGTTTTTTTCATATTCCACATGGGCAGAAGTGAAAAATTGTACTTAGTAAAAGTAAATAATCTGTTCAAAAGTCACATGTGAAAAGCAGGTAGCAGTACACGTTTACAGGTTTCGGGGATTAGCGCACATTATTTAATATTTTCATCTCATGGGTGATTTGACTCCACTGCAGGATGCTGTTCCCAGTCGTCCCAGGCCTCGCAGTTGGTTGTGCAAAGTTGCGTCCCTTCTGCGTGCCAGAATCCTATGTTCATAGGCTCCAATGTCAAACATTAATCGAGCATGTAAATAAAATGGACACTTACATGATCAGATGGGAGCAGCCCCCCGAAAAATAATGTTTTCTCTTCAGGGAACCTTTGCATTCGAGTTATATTTCAATGATACATATGCAACGGATTCATACAAATACACCACACGGAACTAGAAAGTCTCTTTGGAGTGACGTGGGATAACGCCGACAGCTGACTCACATATCTGGCTATCAATGTCGCTTACTACGCACCGCTTAATCGTAGTTTCGTTTCATGTATTGTGCTGCGCTGTAACTGTGTTCCTGTCGGGGACAACACAATCCTAGCTTCTAGGTCAGCCCGACCCACCAGTACAAGGATGTTGAACGCTTGCCAAGTCAGCCTGCTATATCAGAAGCCATGTCAGGGATATATTTAGTCGACTGGGAAAACCCACACTAAAACTAACATGGACGAACAGAGGTTTTGTTTTGTCGAAGGAAAACTGTGAGTTAATTTTTGTAACTCTGTGTTGACATAGTCGTAAACTTAACGAGTAACACGTTTCCTTATCATATGAGCGACCAATAAGTCCATTGTCGCAGGAATCCTAGTGGCCAATGCGGATTGACATGTTTCGTTGTCGTACTAATGTACCACTTAGAAATATGTGTTTTATAACGAGATGTTTTTGTACTTTGTTACGATACGTCTGTATGTCATGTGACTATATGCATTCATTTAGATAAGAAAATCTGCAACGATTTATTTGGAAGGCAGGATGAAGTGTATTCAATCCGCACTCGGTCGATACAATTGTCATGAATGTACGTCACTTCCGGCCTGATCTGTAGATCATAACAGGCAGGGAAGTATAGCTCCATGCCCTGCATACGTTTGACATGTGTGCAGCGTCGGATGACACGGAATATTCCAAGCTGAAAATGACAGAGATCTTTACGAATTCAATAGAAATAAAACAGTCCGACGCAGATGTTTTTTTTCCAGATACACATTACTAGCCAATTTAACACATGTGTTGGATGCACACCATGCACACGCCATGCCTCCTAAATCTGAATTTGTGTTTATACCTTTTTACATTTGCAGATACAAGGTGCGTGGCATAAATTATTAGTGAAAAAAAATAAAACTGGCAAAACGTTTTATGTGTTTAGAGAAACAGCAACAGTAAGCTAACTGACTGTACAATAATGGGGAGCCTTCAAGGTGAACATAATACAAGGACAAGACAGAGATTTGCTTCCATTGAAGCGGAAATACATGCACAGAGAATATTGATAGAGACAGAGTTTGAACGTCAAAGGCAACAAAATGTTTACTTGAGATCCAACCTCATGCAGTTGCTTGCATCGATTGCCGACAATGCACAGTTGTTTGAAATCCGTGAGCAGGAGGCTGACAAGAGTCCTACAGACAACACTAGTTCACTACCCACCCAACAGCAGCATGTAGAATATGAGGTTGGAAGTTCCGAAACTGTGGTTGTCCTTGGAACGTTAGAAGCCGACAAATTTTCAACACCAGCAACAGATCTGATTGATCGTCCATTGCAAAAAGACACCCCAAACAGTCCCCCATCCTCCAAAACAAGCATCATAGAAACCAAAGGACACTTGGTCAGGGGGAAGAATAACAAACCAACCGTTCGTCCATTATGTGATGCGGTGAGACAGTTTCTTCGTTCAAGAGTGTTACCCGTAGCCACTGTGGATGACTTCAGAGCCGTGGGGCGACTGACGGGTGTTAGTTGTGATGAGCTGAACCCAGACTCCGAGGACGATGCTGTTGGTCTGGTGGAGCGCATGTTGAGAAGGGAAATGGGTGGTCACACCGATCAATTACTGAATGATCCTTCTACAAGGTATAGTCTGGCACTAATCGTAGTAATGATGCAATCCTATACAAATTTCCAGGCAATACATAATATTCGTTATTATTAAACATATTTTATTGTCCAATAAGACAAAGGGATTGGGCACAAGTGCAACACTTATTACAGCCTTCTCCCTAATAATATTCGTATTGTCCCAGCTTTACTTAACATGTATTTGATAAAGTACTTCTACCTCTCGGGTACTTTAGGTATCATAGCATTCTGTACACAAAGGTTGTACCCAATAATTACCTTTGTATACAGAGAATATTGTATGCAGTTTGGTAACTCTTATTCATGAATAGTAAAGAGCGCGAGTGGTTAATCGCAAGGGCATGTTGCGTTTCGTAGAGAAAGGTTTGAGGCAAAGTTGAGCAAAAGGAAGCCTGGTGCTAGTAGGTCCGGCAGAGCAAGTATACAAGCATTGCTGAGCATTGATGTTCTCAACAGCAGCAACCCCTACAATGGCTCACTATGGTGTGGTGTGGAGGAAGCACTTGAAACAGGTTTGACTTCATTATTAGTTGGTTAATATAATCCCAATAACAACTTCTTTTGAAAAACTCCTTATTAATAACTTTGGGTCGACCATTTCAGTTTCGGGGCTGGGATTTTATGGGACATAATAAATTGTCAACGAAAATGCTTGAAAAAAATGATAATGCGTAATTTACAGATGAAACAAAGAAAATGTTTGCCACAAAAATCACATTGTTGCAAAGCGTTTTTTAGAAAAAAATATATTTAGGCTCAAAGTTTTAATTAATAAAATATCTAGTTTTTCAGCTGAAGCTGACTCCATATAAAATCCCAGACCTCCAACCCGAATATCAAATGGCTGACCCCGTAACATAAAACAGAACGAAAGTATTATTGATGTTAGTTTGTCAAAGTTGCTTTTATCGATAATGTACAACTAATGTAACTATTTGTACATGGTATAGCTTTATATTCTTGTAGCGGGAAATATTCCGATGGCTGAAACTTCTCTTGACACCGTCTTGTGCATTGATACATCCGAGAGTATAAGTGACAATGCATTGAGGGACATCAAAAACTTCCTCCGAAGATTTATCAACGGTAACAAATTCACATATCTTAAAGCACATACTTACAGATCTAATACATGCGTTTCATAATATAGTGTTGCAAATTTGTCCACTAAATATGATTATTGCAATTTGCCTGTTTAGTAAAATATGACTTTGTTTGTGATACACTTGTCACATCGAATCTTTGTTCATCTGGATTCAGCATGCTTTTCTCATCTGTGCAGGACTTGAAGAAACAGCAGAAAAACATGACATTGAAGAGAATGTTGCACTTGTAACATTTGGAGGGCGACCGAGGGTATTGCATCATTTAACTAACGACTACGGAAGTCTCAGGGATGCAATAGGTAGTACTTCTATTTTGTTCACAGGATCATATATGGCACCATATATGTATTTATGGTTGCTAAAAAATAGTAATAGTTTTTATAGTTTTTCTTTTATACAATTTGGACATTGATGCATTATAGTGTGTTCGGACTGATTTCCTACTCTATATATTTCCATTTTACAGAAACATCAGACCCAGGGGCCACTCGCCGCTTCTTCAGGGACTACTCTATAGCTTGGCTTGCATAACTAAAGGTATGGCAACTGTTAATTGATTTAAATCCTCAAGCAAAACTTTATATATTTTGGAGCCCTTTGCAGGGGAACAGATTCATTGTGTTGATGGTCTATTTCAGGTGGTGTATGCAAATTTGGGCTTCTGAAGGTACCACCAAGGATTGTTTTCATAACTGATGGCCAAGCATCCAGTGAAAATCATCAACATTCTGCCGACAATCGTCATGTCAGTGAAAAGGTGAGCAGTGCACTTATATATGCATGCTCAAATGTATTACAACATATTCTAAAGTACCTTCCCATATATTTAATTACGTATCCTGATTTTGGAATTATGAAAGTGAGTATTCTAGCTTGTATTTTGAATAGGTCAGTCTGTTTTGTCGAGGGATGGACACATAATGATGCAAGGATAATCTTCTAAACAAACATAGATATGTTTTATTTCACTTGTATTTTATTTGACAAATGCATAAACTATCTGTAACTCTGAAACATTTGTATTAGGAGAAGACACGGCTCCTGTCCGTTGCAAGTGTTTTGAGCAGTGATCGCAGTAAACAGGACATTGCTGGTCCTCTCGTGTGGGTGCCTGTTGGAGATGCAAACAATGTAAGGTCACTTTCCTTGCTTCCCATGTACACGCATTCCTCAGATCTGTCTGTGTCAGTAACATTGTATAAGTACAAGTTGATTTTACGGAATTCAAGATTTCAAATCAACTTGACTTTATTTTTAAAGAACGTTTTGATATCAGATAAAGTGATATTTGTTTTACTCTATAGGACTTTCTTAGACAAATGGCATCCGTCAGTGATGGCACATATACTTCACCAAATGATCTCACAACACTCTGCAATTACCAGAAGATAAAGGTAAGAAAAATTATTGGTATATACCCGTTGGAATATGAGTTGATGTGTAGTCGGCACTTAGACTTCTGGGCATTGTGTAAAAGTAACACATCGTAATGAAAGGGGGATGTAAATAGTGAAATGTGTATTGTATATCATTGTCCCTGAGAAATAATGTAAATACAAATACTAGGCATCTCTACTTCGTATCATCATTTCCAGAGGGTTAGTGCCAACGTCTTGAACTACATGAAATCTCACGCCGACAATCCCCGAATGATCGACACCGTCATCGACGCTTTTGGTTTGGATCTGCGATATGATGATAAGGTCAACTTTATTTTATCTGATAGATCAGCAGTTCAGAAAATAGTTTCAAATGCTGACTGACGAATCAAATAAAACTATTGAATTACAGTATCACTTAATATTTCTTGTCTTTTCCTGTGATTATATATATTATTATATAAACACACCGCCACAATTCTTCAGATATATTACAAAAATGAATGCTTACCTAGAATAAGTAATCAGAAGTTCCAACTTCTACATGTGCTCATTGATTGCAAAATGACCTCACATGAGTATCAGTGTTTACTGTATGCACCATCAAACATCACGTCATACACTTGTAGTTTGACCGAACACGACACCTCGTAAGAAGAATTCCGTTTGTTTATTGTTACCGAACTCTTTTTCAGGTTCAAGTGGCCACATTTGTCCATAGTATTCTGTACAAGGATGTATTTAATATGAAGTCGTTGGACAGATTTGACAACATCCACATAAATGAAAACTTGCCCCCACTAGGGTCTAGGGTTGTGAGAGGGCCGGACTGGATGTGGGACAACCAAGATTCCGGACTCCCGGGAACCGTCTACAACCACGGACAAGAAGGAGGTAGAACATATAAGCTAAGTTTTAGAAAGTTGAATTACGTGACACAAACCTAGTACAGTAACATGTATCGTATTGAATAGGACATTCACTATGTATAAATTCGAAACTAATGCCCATATTAACTATTTGTTTTAATGTTGTGCGAATAATCTTATATGAATGCACATAATGTATAATTCCACACTACTTTCAGAGTCCGTGTGGGTGTTGTGGGACAATGGCTTCAGGAATGTGTATCGCTGTGGGGCAGCGACAGGGTATGATATACTGCCAACAGATCAGCCTCGACAGCTACTCCCGGGTCGGCTGATAGATGTCGGTGTGCAGGTTGAGAGAGGTAGCTCGGTTGAATTGAATATTTTCTTTTTTGACATCAGTTGGATTTCAGAAGCTCATAAGATATATGTTTATTGTTATAAGACGGGAAATATTTCTGAATAAATCACCACTTCAAAAGGTAAAGAAAAGAGTATTACATGTTCTTGACTTGGTTTTCTTACTCATCGTTAATGGTAGTATATATACTATACTGTGTCAAAACAATGTTAAATATTTAATACGGCAGGTCCTGACTGGTCTCATAAAAATCAAGATGGTGGACCAGGGAGTTGCGGCGTGGTCATCAGAGTCAGAGGTTTGCGTGTGAAGGTAAAATTATGCATGCAGAACCACATTTCTTAGAGGAATTCATGCTGTCCATTCCGATGTACTTTGTTCTATGACGTCTGAAAATGTTGCATTTACGAGACAGCCTTAAGTGAAATATTCTTAACATGTGAGCAAGACAAATATGTATAGTGTAAACTGTGCTGCTACAGGTGCTGTGGGGCAGTGGGGAGATACACGAGTACAGGTTCGGTGAAGAAAACAAGTTTGAGGTATCAGTTCGGTAAGATATGATTAGTTGAAGATATTTGTATACCACCGTCCCCATACTTAGTTACTCGTAAATAATCCCCAAAACATGCCATTTTAACAACGATCTTAGTTTTGTGGTCAGATGATATGAAAAATATGATGTATTTAAAGTGACGATTTACAAATATAATGTCCTCAGGAATCTGATGAATGAGAAGGAGCGAAAACTCCCAGCACCAACTGCAGTGAAGGTTACAAACACCAACCAACGTACAGGTGAGAGAGAGAGAGAGAGAGAGAGAGAGAGAGAGAGAGAGAGAGAGAGAGAGAGAGAGAGGGTATGCATTATTGTGTACTGATGATTGACAGTGAGAGGAATGATTGTTTTCTACGTTTTGTTACTAAATGTTACTAATTGCAGAACATGTTTGGTTATATATACTTGTCCGTCACCTAACCATTTCAAACTGCCCTATGTAATGAGTGAGTGAGTTTGTTTGACCATGTTCCCATCCATACTACCGCGGTACACTATGTGATGAAACAACATGCCCATGTTTTAAAATGAACACATGTAAACATACAGGTACCGCGGACGAGGGACAGAGCCAGGAGGAGAGTCAGTATGTGTGGCAGCGCCAGGACAGAACGCATGGGTGGCAGAATTACTCCAAGGAGGAAGATGCGAAGATGAAAAAGGAATACAGGAGAAAAAGAACAGGGACATGCTTGTTACACAGAAATGGACAATGGTATATCAAGGAAGTAGTTGCACATTTCAGTATAGAAACATGGACAATGGTATATCAAGGAAGTAGTTGCACATTTCAGTATAGAAACATGGACAATGGTATATCAAGGAAGTAGTTGCACATTTCAGTACAGAACAAGGACAATGGTATATCAAGGAAGTAGTTGCACATTTCAGTATAGAAACATGGTCAATGGTATATCAAGGAAGTTGTTGCACATTTCAGTATAGAAACATGGACAAAGGTATATCAAGGAAATAGTTGCACATTTCAGTATAGAAACATGGACAATGGTATATCAAGGCAGTAGTTGCACATTTCAGTATAGAAACATGGACAATGGTATATCAAGGAAGTAGTTGCACATTTCAGTATAGAAACATGGACAAAGGTATTTCAAGGCAGAAGTTGCACATTTCAGTATAGAAACATGGACAATGGTATATCAAGGCAGTAGTTGCACATTTCAGTATAGAAACATGGACAATGGTATATCAAGGCAGTAGTTGCACATTTCAGTATAGAAACATGGACAAAGGTATTTCAAGGCAGAAGTTGCACATTTCAGTATAGAAACATGGACAAAGGTATTTCAAGGCAGAAGTTGCACATTTCAGTATAGAAACATGGACAATGGTATATCAAGGCAGGAGTTGCACATTTCAGTATAGAAACATGGACAAAGGTATTTCAAGGCAGAAGTTGCACATTTCAGTATAGAAACATGGACAATGGTATATCAAGGCAGTAGTTGCACATTTCAGTATAGAAATATGGATAATGGCATACCAAGGCAGTAGTTGCACATTTCAGTATACAGATATGGACAGTGGTATACCAAGGTAATAGTTGTTCATGTCAGTTTACAAACATGGACAGTGGTCCACCAAGGCAATAGTTGCACATTTCAGTTTACATACATGGACAGTGGTATACCAAGGCAGTAGTTGCACATTTCAGTTTACATACATGGACAGTGGTAAACCTAGGCAATAGTTGCATATTTCAATTTACATACATGGACAGTGGTATACCTAGGCAGTAGTTGCACATTTCAGTTTACATACATGGACAGTGGTACACCAAGGCAGTAGTTGCATATTTCAATTTACATACATGGACAGTGGTATACCTAGGCAATAGTTGCACATTTCAGTTAACATACATGGACAGTGGTATACCAAGGCAATAGTTGCACATTTCAGTTTACATACATGGACAGTGGTACACCTAGGCAATAGTTGCACATTTCAGTTTACATACACGGACAGTGGTATACCTAGGCAGTAGTTGCCCATTTCAGTTTACATACATGGACACTGGTACACCAAGGCAATAGTTGCACATTTCAGTTTACAAACATGGACAGTGGAACACCAAGGCAATAGTTACACATTTCAGTTTACATACATGGACAGTGGTATACCAAGGCAGTAGTTGCACATTTCAGTTTACATACATGGACAGTGGTAAACCTAGGCAATAGTTGCATATTTCAATTTACATACATGGACAGTGGTATACCTAGGCAGTAGTTGCACATTTCAGTTTACATACATGGACAGTGGTACACCAAGGCAGTAGTTGCATATTTCAATTTACATATATGGACAGTGGTATACCTAGGCAATAGTTGCACATTTCAGTTAACATACATGGACAGTGGTATACCAAGGCAATAGTTGCACATTTCAGTTTACATACATGGACAGTGGTACACCTAGGCAATAGTTGCACATTTCAGTTTACATACACGGACAGTGGTATACCTAGGCAGTAGTTGACCATTTCAGTTTACATACATGGACACTGGTACACCAAGGCAATAGTTGCACATTTCAGTTTACAAACATGGACAGTGGAACACCAAGGCAATAGTTACACATTTCAGTTTACATACATGGACAGTGGTATACCAAGGCAGTAGTTGCACATTTCAGTTTACATACATGGACAGTGGTAAACCTAGGCAATAGCTGCATATTTCAATTTACATACATGGACAGTGGTATACCTAGGCAATAGTTGCACATTTCAGTTAACATACATGGACAGTGGTATACCAAGGCAATAGTTGCACATTTGAGTTTACATACATGGACAGTGGTACACCTAGGCAATAGTTGCACATTTCAGTTTACATACATGGACAGTGGTATACCAAGGCAGTAGTTGCACATTTCAGTTTACAAACATGGACAGTGGAACACCAAGGCAATAGTTACACATTTCAGTTTACATACATGGACAGTGGTATACCAAGGCAGTAGTTGCACATTTCAGTTTACATACATGGACAGTGGTATGCCTTGGCAGTAGTTGCACATTTCAGTTTACATACATGGACAGTGGTACACCAAGGCAGTAGTTGCACATTTCAGTTTACATACATGGACGGTGGTAAACCTAGGCAATAGTTGCACATTTCAGTTTACATACAAGGAAAGCGGTATACCTAGGCAATAGTTGCAGATTTCAGTTTACATACATGGACAGTGGTATACCAAGGCAATAGTTGCACATATCAGTTTACTGAAATGGACAGTTTTACACCAAGGCAATAGTTGCACATTTCAGTTTACATACATGGACAGTGGTATACCTAGGCCATAGTTGCACATTTCAGTTTACATACATGGACAGTGGTATACCTTGGCAGTAGTTGCACATTTCAGTTTACATACATGGACAGTGGTAAACCTAGGCAATAGTTGCACATTTCAGTTTACATGCATGGACAGTGGTAAACCTAGGCAATAGTTGCAGATTTCAGTTTACATACATGGACAGTGGTATACGAAGGCAATAGTTGCACATATCAGTTTACTGAAATGGACAGTTTTAGACCTAGGCAATAGTTGCACATTTCAGTTTACATACATGGACAGTGGTATACCTAGGCCATAGTTGCACATTTCAGTTTACATACATGGACAGTGGTAAACCAAGGCAATATTTGCACATTTCAGTTTACATACACGGACAGTGGTATACTTAGGCAATAGTTGCACATTTCAGTTTACATACATGGACAGTGGTAAACCAAGGCAATAGTTGCACATTTCAGTTTACATACATGGACAGTGGTACACCTAGGCCATAGTTGCACATTTCAGTTTACATACATGGACAGTGGTACACCAAGGCAATAGTTGCACATATCAGTATATATACATGGACAGTTGTATACCAAGGCAATAGTTGCACATTTCAGTTTACATACATGGACAGTGGTACACCTAGGCAATAGTTGCATATTTCAGTTGACATACACGGACAGTGGTATACCTAGGCAATAGTGGCACATTTCAGTTTACATACATGGACAGTGGTACACCTAGGCCATAGTTGCACATTTCAGTTTACATACATGGACAGTGGTATACCTAGGCAATAGTTGCACATTTCAGTTTACATACATGGACAGTGGTAAACCTAGGCAATAGTTGCATATTTCAATTTACATACATGGACAGTGGTATACCTAGGCAGTAGTTGCACATTTCAGTTTACATACATGGACAGTGGTACACCAAGGCAGTAGTTGCATATTTCAATTTACATACATGGACAGTGGTATACCTAGGCAATAGTTGCACATTTCAGTTAACATACATGGACAGTGGTATACCAAGGCAGTAGTTGCACATTTCAGTTTACATACATGGACAGTGGTAAACCTAGGCAATAGTTGCATATTTCAATTTACATACATGGACAGTGGTATACCTAGGCAGTAGTTGCACATTTCAGTTTACATACATGGACAGTGGTACACCAAGGCAGTAGTTGCATATTTCAATTTACATACATGGACAGTGGTATACCTAGGCAATAGTTGCACATTTCAGTTAACATACATGGACAGTGGTATACCAAGGCAATAGTTGCACATTTCAGTTTACATACATGGACAGTGGTACACCTAGGCAATAGTTGCACATTTCAGTTTACATACACGGACAGTGGTATACCTAGGCAGTAGTTGACCATTTCAGTTTACATACATGGACACTGGTACACCAAGGCAATAGTTGCACATTTCAGTTTACAAACATGGACAGTGGAACACCAAGGCAATAGTTACACATTTCAGTTTACATACATGGACAGTGGTATACCAAGGCAGTAGTTGCACATTTCAGTTTACATACATGGACAGTGGTAAACCTAGGCAATAGCTGCATATTTCAATTTACATACATGGACAGTGGTATACCTAGGCAATAGTTGCACATTTCAGTTAACATACATGGACAGTGGTATACCAAGGCAATAGTTGCACATTTGAGTTTACATACATGGACAGTGGTACACCTAGGCAATAGTTGCACATTTCAGTTTACATACATGGACAGTGGTATACCAAGGCAGTAGTTGCACATTTCAGTTTACAAACATGGACAGTGGAACACCAAGGCAATAGTTACACATTTCAGTTTACATACATGGACAGTGGTATACCAAGGCAGTAGTTGCACATTTCAGTTTACATACATGGACAGTGGTATGCCTTGGCAGTAGTTGCACATTTCAGTTTACATACATGGACGGTGGTAAACCTAGGCAATAGTTGCACATTTCAGTTTACATACAAGGAAAGCGGTATACCTAGGCTATAGTTGCAGATTTCAGTTTACATACATGGACAGTGGTATACCAAGGCAATAGTTGCACATATCAGTTTACTGAAATGGACAGTTTTACACCAAGGCAATAGTTGCACATTTCAGTTTACATACATGGACAGTGGTATACCTAGGCCATAGTTGCACATTTCAGTTTACATACATGGACAGTGGTATACCTTGGCAGTAGTTGCACATTTCAGTTTACATACATGGACAGTGGTAAACCTAGGCAATAGTTGCACATTTCAGTTTACATGCATGGACAGTGGTAAACCTAGGCAATAGTTGCAGATTTCAGTTTACATACATGGACAGTGGTATACGAAGGAAATAGTTGCACATATCAGTTTACTGAAATGGACAGTTTTA